CCTGAGATCTTGAGACTTGTACTTTTTTTTTGCCAGAAAGCAGATGAAAGGTCTCTCCTATGGGTCAAAAACTGGTATGACACGGGAGTTGGCGGAGCTCTAGCGCGAGATGAATCGTATGTAATAGTTAATTATAATGCGCGCACTCTCGGCTTAAAAGCAGGAGCATTCGAGGGTCTCCCCGCCTGGACCTCTGTATACCTCAACACCGACGACCTTTTTTTCCTGCCCAGCGATCTGCGGTAAGCCCGTGCCACCTGCCAATAACGATGCCGCCGGGAAGATCTCACGAAGTCATGAAAAGCAGTGCATTTTGTAAACTCAAAACTAGTCGCTTGCTTATTAGCGTTGTCCTACCGCCGCCGACGAAGTGTAAGACCCATTCAAACTTCTTCGTCATATCAAAACTGAAATAGCCTTTTCATCATATGCCACATAGATGTGCCACCGACAACTACGTTTCACGAAAAATACAACATGCGGTCACCTCACATTTCAAGGCGACACTTACATTGATTGTTATGCACGAGACTGCATGCTCAGTACCAGTCATCCGACCACGTGCGGATCACCGGTCAGACCGTGCAATTGCCGTCGGTATTATAAGTAAGATCGCGTTATTTGCTTCCGCGAAGCTTTGGGTCGCTTATTGTTATTCTCCAGTCAACCCCAGCGGCTGATCACACTAGAAGTACCCACTTTCTCCATTTTTAATTTGGTCTGCATGTTCATATGTCGTCTTTCACAGCTTCCCGGAATATGTCCAAAGTGCCCCCAATGACAGGATACCCCGACGACAATCTGTATATATATATCATGTCTTGGATCACCTAATGTATTCTTCCAATCTTTCACTTATGGTTAGTGTTCTTGCTTGCCACCTCGGAAGGATCTCCCTCCCTAGAAATTATATCTCTACTATGTATAGCTACACATCCAAGCCCATCACCGCGTCATCATCAATCCCACCGTCTCCATACTCGACATCCATGTCGTCCTCCTGCTCTTGTTGTTGTTGTTCCATGAGCAGTGCTTGCTCCTTCTGTTTTGCTTGCGCTTTCTCAATATCTTCTAGTGTCCATAACGATACACCAGTTTGATTTTCATTTGGATTCTGCGAGATCGTGCGCATGAAGAGCTTGGAAAGTGTCAAGGCCATATCCGTGGAGAGATTAGAAGCAACCTCCGTGATGTATTGATTGATCCACCGGGGTAGCTTGGCCCGTTTGTCGGCACGGGCAAAACGCTGTCACAGTGACAAGTCAGTCAACAACTGTTTGTGAAAGAAAGATAGACGGACCTTGTCTGCGAACACCATCAGACCCCAATCAGTCTTACCTCGCAGGACACGTCCGACGCATTGAGCGGCGTTGCGCATGGCATCAAAACCAAGGAACTCGGATTCTCTTATCCGGTATGCGTCACGCAGATACTCCAACCGTGCTTTTAATATTCGGCTCTCGGTGTATTGGTATGGCACCCTATTTGCTATAATATCAGTTGCCGGCTCTGATCTATGAATTTAATCACAAACCCAAACATGATCACAGCTCTCCCATAGTTGTGATCAAAGTCAATACCCTCTGACACTTTGCCACGCGCAACCGACAGGAGAACAGCTCCTCGGCCATTGTCACAAGCCTGTGGTAGTTCTGTGAGTAGCCAAACGTCTTTCTAGCATGGGATTTCTCACTCGACGATAGTTTTCCAAAGCGATGCTTGTTTCGTTCGCATCTGGCGTTTCCACGAATATCAACTTGTTCTTCCAGACCTCATTGAGAATGCCCTGCGCAAATGATAAACGAGTGAAATTTCATTTCTTGAGACAAACAAATTTACCATATCATTCCAAGCTGCGACGATGGACTCCATGTAAAGGTAACTTGGGAAGAAGGCCACAATGCCGTCCGGTACAATCTTGCTGTACTCAATAAGAATACTTCCAAAGTTGCGAACCACGGCAGGGTCATTTCTGACTTCGAAACGTGAACTGATGGCGACTTGGTCACTTCCTCGCGTGATGACCTTTCACTTGTCAGCGGACAAGAGCACAAAGGTTAGCGACAAAACTCACCAACGGTAAGAAAGCGTTGCGTGTGAGCGTCATGGGATATGTTTCTTGCACGACGGGGGTGAATTGCAGCATCTTTGGATACATGTCCAACGGGGAGATAGTTCCTGAAGTTATTACGACGCTGCTGAAATGCTCGAACACAGGTTTGATTGCGAGGGACGGGTCCAAGCATCTGAAATTAATGCTGAGCAGGTAATCAATCTCGGAATGGGCAACCAAACTCTCACGTGAAGTGGAAGATGGGATTAGGAACGGTTGCGTTATCCGTTTCAAACGGTTCAAGAATCAATAAAAACCCTGTAACAGAGTTAATATCGATGCCAAGGAGAATTAGTGTTCAGACCCTTTTCGTACGTAGCAACAAGTGTTGCAAAACTTGCGACTTTCTGCAATGCCGAGTGCTCATCGAGCCGATTAAGTTCCAATGTACGGATCATCGACTGTAGTCGTTCTGCACAAAACCTGGCGGCTAACATTAGAGAATACTGGCGGAAAGAAAGCAATACTTGCCGCAATGGTCGTCGTTCAATATAAGTGATATCTTTCAAGTGCTGTAGGAATGACAATGGCGTTTCAGCGACGACATGCAAAACGCGCATCCTGGTCTATAGTAACTGTCAGTGGAGTGTGCCACATGGGTGTCAAACTGAGAACCTTGAGATACTCCACGAATCGCTTCAAAAATGCCACAAAATGTTCGGCCTTTCTGATGTTTCCTGGAACGGCTTCTTTGAGGAGGTCGTCTGGCAGAACTTTCCCGACAATTTCAGTATAGAGTGGAGGGCTGTTTTCTTTCTCGACGAACCTGGATTAGCCATGAATGCGTCTTCGTCAGAAGCATCCGCCGCCGATTCCTGTAGCCCCTCGACAAGTCTCGCATACTCGTCCTGTAGTTTGGCCGCGTCCGTTGTCTTGATTCTGAAAAGAAGGCGCTTGAGACCTGCCATCACAATAATATACAGAACACTAACTCTTCGATTTTTTCGCCCAATTTCACGACACTGCGTGCAGCTGAGTCTAACATCGGTCTGGTCAAGTCAATGCTCAATGACTCGATGCACACGTTGTCTGCAATGAATTATAGAAAAATTAAATAGTCATTCAACAAGGTCCTACCGATATTATGGGCTTCGTCAAACACGACGATGGCATCTTTTGAGAGTTCCTTGGAAACTTGTTCGGCAACTTTGGGATCAAGCAGATAGTGGAATGAGTAGATGATGACATCCACGAACGGCATCTTGGACAGTTGATGAGTGATACTGGATAGTATTGACGTCACTCACCATTCGCCGAACTGTGAAGTATGGACATGTCTTGTTCTCTCGTCCGTGCTGAAGAACATCGGCTAGTGTCCATATGCCAGGGGGTATCAAGGACCCAGGTTCGCCTTTACCCAGGTTCTAAGCTGAGTCAACACCTATGGAGCAATTAATATAAGTTCACTTCCTCACCTCATGCCAATCGCACAAATCGACTGAACCTGGATTTGCGCGTCCTTTCTCACATGTAGCAGAATTGGTTAGGTCTCGACAACGGGCGTCGACTACCTTGCCCTTCTTTTCCTTAGAAACCTGGATAGGTAGCAATATCAGCCATAGAACAGGCTGTTTCATTTTCGTTGATAAAGTGTGTACCCACATCTGGGTGTATGCAGAGGTTCTTCCTACTCGTGAGTCCGAGTCCCATGAAACTTTCTTCTTTTGCTTTCTGTTGTGGCGTCTCCGCGAACTTTATCCGGTACGCCATGAGACGCTTCAGCTCGGCCAATGCTTTCTCAATCTCCGGAACCGTTCGTGAGCAATAGATGAGTTTCCGTTTCGTGGGGTAGAACTAGAGAGACGGGCTTTAGAAATCCGCTGCGATGCGAACTGAGAAACATACCTGTTGGTATGACACAATCAGAGACAGTAGTGAAACTGTCTTCCCTGTTCCTGAAGGCATCTCCAAAACGCAGTGCCCCTAGAGGAAACCAGTCAGCGCATCAGCCAGAACAATATCTACGTGTGCTGTACTGTTGCGTCCAGGGTTCGTTTGAGATCACACATGTACGCATATTGTTCTGCAGGCAGCAGAGTCAGCGTGAAGCATGACTGTCATTTGAATGGACGGACCAGGGTAAATTCGATCATAAGGGAAGATGATCTGAAGTAGAGGACTTCAGCGTCATATTTCTTTCTCAAGTCCACCAAATATAACGGTACAAACAGGTAGATTGTCGATAAAGAACTTCATGAACACCGAGCTCGCAGATACGGTGGCAAGCAAGTCTGAAGACGAACCAGAAATGTATTGTCGCGCGACGCGCGCACACAAATGCCGTGACGCCGTGACGAGAATCTCGTGACATTCTTGTGACTGTGTCCGTCACGGAAATCTGTGACTGAAGAAAAAGGTTTGTCACGGTCTGTTTGAGTTTAAGTTCGAGTTTACGACTATGTAGTAACTGGAGCGAGTCGGTGCAAACCTAGCGGCTAGTTAATAACATCCTGACTTTCCCATCAATCCCGCCCAGGGTCAGCTTAGGCCCCGTGTTTGGACCCGCGCTTCGTGATTGTGCAATGTGCTCCCTTGTCATTTGACCAAAAGTCCGACATGACTATCTTTACATTTACAGCATCTTTCAGGGGCTTTTGACGGCCTAACCGGACTTAACCGTACGATGACCCTGTGAACCGACTCGATTGAAGCTGTAAACCGGTTCTGCTCACTGGACTGATCCGAATCCCAGCAACATATTAAATCACTACGTCACAAGAACTCTACCTATCTAAAGTTACATGGGTTGTATAAACAACTGTACTGGAAGTCCAAGAAGGGTGACGTGATATCATCAGATTGTACAACATCGTGTGCATAGAGCATCACATGTCCGTTGGTTCCGAGAGTAAGTCAAAATAGTATCCACTTAAATATGAGGTCGCTTTCAGTCCGCGGCGATCGACTGAGCCGCAGACCCAAGGATTTGCTGAACAGTAGTGGAGCCGGTACTGCGTAGAGGTCAGTACATGTCAGAATAAGATGGCTGGACCAAAACGAACGTAGAGTAACCATCATTGGGGGACTCGCCAGTCGTTTGTTGGGGAGTGGGCGTCTCTCCTGGACTACTGGGCGTAGGCTGCTGGCCAGTGGTAGTAGGAGGGAGGATGGTGGTACCCGGTTCAGCCGTAAGGTTGGACTGACCCCACTGGTACTGGATTATTCCGTTGAGTCCGGCAGCAATACCAGCTAATCAAAGGTTTGTAAATTTGGAAAAGATACCAAGGGTGATATCGAAGAACGTACTGTTAAGCCATGTCGTGTAAGTATCTGCTTGCTGTTGACTGGTCACACCATAGGTTGTGCTGGCATTCGCTGGGAGAACAAATCAGACCTCGAGCCAAGAGCAACTTGTACCAGAAGCTGCTCACGATTGTCAGCAGCAAATGGAGCAACCGTAGAGTTGAACGGCACGAAGCTAGGAGCATTGGATTGCGTGACCAGACCAAAGCCAGTGAGTATCGCAGGTTTTCCGACGCTAAGACAAATATCAGACATCCAGACGCATTAGACAATCGCGAGACCTGCTCACGCAGCAGCACTTTGGGCCTGGTTGGTGATCCACTGGGCACCGTTTTGCTCTACGTTTTGCCAAGGCGCGATGTTCGGGTCATCAGGACCATACGATTGCTGGTCAGGGAATAGTTGGAAGGACGAGAAACCAATATCTGGAATGTTGGAGATATCTTGGCTGTCGACGCCGTATGCGCCGTCATAATTTGACCCCAAAGTCGGAGTTTCCTGCCTCTTCGTAGCTGTCAAACATAATCAGCGGAGATAATGCTACGATATGTTTGACTTACCAGTCGAAACCCATCGTCCTCTGACTCGCACACCGTCTTCCACCAGAGTCCCCGCACGTTTCGCAGCTTCTCTGTTGCGGCGCCTCCTCTCAGCTCGTTCTTTGAGAATTTGCTCCTTGGTCACGGGTTTTGCTGGGCTGCTGCGCTTCTTTTTTGCGGGGGCCGGTGATGTTGCAGGAGGTGCTGGTGCTGGTGTCAGAGGGTATAATTTTGGACAGTCTGTACACATGTATCCTCCAACCCTAGATCAGTCGTTAAATGGTGCCTATGGCTGCAATCGACACTATAAACATACCCCGAGGAGATGAGGTGGTTTGGATCAATGCTGCGGATGTGCGAGGCTACTGTCGCATGCCAGGTCGTGATCGTTTCTGTCGTGCAGGTAGCAGATGCTGGTACGGTGGAGTTGCATCTGGAATCAAGTGTATCAAGCTCAGGCTGTGCAGCTCCGCAAAATAAGCCATTACGTACCTGGCGTCATTAGCCAATTCATAACTGAAGACCGATGGACTATTCACGTAGCGGGAGACCACTTGCGTCGTGTAATTCATGAAAGACGTTAATATCGACGGATTGGTATAGAACTGGTCATGAGTTTGGAGGCCGAATTGGCGAACATATAGATCCATGCCACCTAAAGTCATCATCAAACCAATGCAGGGGTTAAGAATGCGATTATGACCAACCGTAATTATTAGATAGATAGTTGCGAGGAAGGGTGTTGTTCGTGCCCGGCGTGACATCAAAGGCGGTGCTGTTGACAGGAGGGACTGTTGAGTTCAAGAGTGGCAGAGGGTACCAGTTGTTCGTAAGAGATAGAATGACGTATAGACCGTGCTGCTCGGCCATTTGGATGACTGTGTCAAGCTTTTGGAGGCCATTTGGTCCAGTGTTGACGGTGACGGTGCTATTGTGGACAAGCTGGAACCAAGTACCATTTACGGGAATAGTGTCCACATCTGACCATGATGGATTGCATCAGTTACATCGAGAGGACATGAAGTAATAGATACCATTGAATGCCCATAACCTGATGACCTTGATGCCGAGAGCTGATATGTTCGTAAGCGTGTTCCATATGTCTTCGTTCGTGTTTAGCGTAGGAAGCCAATAAGCGTTAGTACCGATGTACTTGAGCGCACTGATTAAAGACGATTTACTGAGAGATCAGTGGTGCAACAGCGATTGATACATACCTTCCATTCACCACAAAGCCAGAGCCACTAGTGGTTACAAAGGGACTGGAAGCCCTTTTATCAGTAGTTGGTGATGGAACAGCAACTACCGTGGATGCCAAAAGGGTGCTGAAGAACAAGGACACCCAAGGGAGTAAGTTCATGGTGGCGCTTATACCCACCAGAGGTGACCCGATAGCAAGTGAGAGGCGAAGAACGGAGGTGATGAATGCATTGGACTATAAGTAGGACAAGACGGTTGGCCCTGGTCTAGGTAAAGCTTCTGGGCGTGCCTGACAGGAAGGGGAGCCGCTTCGAGCGAGAACAGCATGTGTGTGACGATATTGACGTGTTTGTTTCGAATCGAGCCGGGCGTCAAAACCGGTGTTCAACAAATGTTCGGAATGTACCAGAGGGCGTGAATCATGATGAACTTTGAAATCAAGAATACCACCGGTAGCAAACCGGAAGTTTATGGATCCATTCGTGGTAGGCGGACAACCAGCGTACATAGCACGAACGGAGATCTGGTGGTAGCGAGAGACTATATTGGAAGCTTGAATTGACTGACATGAGGCTGGTTCATCAAAGGGCCGCCAAATATTATGTACGTGTTTCACAAGCCTGTCGGCAGAACTGGTACGCAGCCGTTCAACGAGCTCAAACTGTCACATTCATGAGTCGCGTACGGAAATTTGTTGTCACCACCATAGCCATGAAACACATCAGTTATGTTTCTACACGTGTCTCTGGGGGTAAGTTTGAGCCTCGAGGTAAGGTAGCGGTGTACTGTACACGTCCATGACACAAACACAGCCAAAGCACAGCAAGTACTCAAAAATCTAAACTGATTGACTGAATTGGAAAATTGCTAACGCGAGAGATCACGTGATACGTCCCATGACTTTCTGCATCATCTTGGTATTACGTCGGTTCATATCTTTGGAAGTACCCTTGGATACTCATGTGGTCTTAGCTTCCCGCACCAATAACGCTGAGCGCCGAGTGGTCTACCTCTCATCAACTCAGTCATCTGAGACAAATTTCTCACAACCTTCCCAATCTTCTGCTGTTCATCAAACTTTAAGTTTGAGCGCTTGAGCCAATGCTCAGAGCACTTACAAACTTGCCTACTCGCCCGTTGCGTATCTATGCACCCCTAGTACCGAGGCATCGTCGCCTCAAATCACAGAGTACGACCAATCAGCCCACCTCATGGCAAAAAGATGCACCTGTGGATCAACCCAACGTGCTCATCGAGGACCCCTTCACCCGGTCGACTTTATTCACTCTCGACTTTTTCAAGCGCCTGGCAAAATTTTCTTTCATAGGTGTTGTTACACTTGGCATCACCGGCTGCACAGTATTCGAGGGCATACACATGTGGGTGGAGAACGTCGCACTCGCATGTGATCAAGATACCGAGGTGCGCAGGTGGGAGTGGGATCACGAGGCTGAGAAGTGGTCAGGCGGAGAAAAAGGTGGGACAGACCCGGCACTTGGGTTCAAGGGGAGGCATGCTGTTCGCAGTGCATGGATTGCCGAGAACTGGGGAACGGGCTCAGGAGCGATCATCATCGGCTCGAACGCATCTTCGGGACGAGGCTCTCAGGGTACAGGTAGTCTCAATGTCATAGAGGCTCGCCTAGAGGTCGCCCAAAAGTTTATGGCTCTTGCCATCAGCATTGCTGAAAGCAAAATGCCGTCTGGGGAGTTGCGCCCACAAACTCTGGGCGAGCTACTCGCCCGCCACGCTTCTATTCTCGAGCGTATGGGGACGAGGGATGCACTTTTACAGGCCCGGTCCCGATATGAGCGAGTGTGGGCTGGACTGCCCGCCAGGGATATGGATGCTGCACGAGTTGCATTAAAGCTCGGAGACCTTGACTATCGTCTCGGGTATTTCGAGGATGCGCTTGCATGGTGGGCGCGAACCATCACCCTCACTCAGGGTACTCAGCAAGTAGATCCTTCCGCTCCACAATTAACACAGACTATCCCTTCATCTCCGTGTGCGCAGCGCACGCTTGCCTCCACGTTGGTATCACTTTCTGCTTACTACTCCACCTCTGGTCACCTCAAGCAAGCTCAGCATGTACAGGAGTCCGGACTTGATTTCTTACGCTCCATTCCATCTCCCTCCAGAATTTCAGCAGCATATCCGCCACAGGCATTGCATTCACTATTTCTCCTTCACCGATCATCTCTGCTTTCCATTCATCTCGCGGAAGTTCTCTACGCCCTCCGCGCAGCACCTGAACAGTCTATACAATGGCTCGCGCGCGCTGCAGAATCATCCGAACGAGTTGCTCTAGCCCTTGCAGGTCTCCCATTCGCCCATCCTGATGCACCAGGCTCAGCAATTCCCCATCCGCCCGCCTCGGAAGCATCACTTGTTCCTGTGTATCTAAAATCGAATGCAATGCGAAAACCAGCAAAAGGTCTCCTCCGCGATGCTCGCCGGACGGCTGCCGAAGCCTGGAATCTCATGGGTATACTGAGAGAGGACGAAAAAGATGGTGGCGCGGAGCGCGCGCTTGAGTGTTACGAACGCGCTCTGGGGTGGGCAGGTGTCGCAGCAGATCGTTCTGGCGGCATCGGTGAACCTGGGGAAGGTACACCAGAAGCAGAATGGAAGATACTTTGGAAAAACTATGTTCGTGTCCGCGAGGTGACACGGAAAAACAACAGAACCCTAGATTGAATTCGTCATTGATATTCGCTGTTCATTGCTGATTTGTCGGATATTTCTTTCGCATCTCTTATCTACATTACAGCATTCTCATACAGAACCAATCAGGATATGTCATTGACCCAGTGACGTTCTTATTATTGGGTAGCGGCGGGTGGGCGGTCGGACCAGTTCATCTTGAGCTCATGCGCTGATTCCTGAGTTATGTAAAGCAACCCGGCATACAATCATCATAGCGGCGCGAGACGCCCATCCCGAACTCTCCGTTTTCGAAGAAATTCTCCCCTCATTCGATGTTTTCCGGTTATCGCCTCAAACTTGTGCGTCAATGACAAGATCGTCGTAGTGATCTAGTTTGATTCGAAAACGACCGACCCAGAAGTACTTGTAGATACAAGTACGACAACGAAACATGGTCCTATGTAAATGGGGTGCTTCAACATACCCCAGATTACACGTCCGCCCTGAATAAACGTAGCTAAGTATACCGGGGCCGCATGCAAACGAATACTAATACCAACATAATATGCTCGGTAGGAATTAATTTTGACGACCCGTGTTATCACACCATGGCATCTCCTATCATCACATGCTCAACCATGCAGCTGTGTGTTGTCAACGGCACCGCACTTGCACGTTCGACATCATTTTCCTGTCGCGGGACATACCCGATGTCAGTGGTCACTCCCGCGGTGTGAAGGTCGCTGCTCTTAGCATCACACATATTTCTGTCGTATTCTTCTGCCTCCAAAAAACGGCGAATGAAAGTAGCCGGCCGCGCTCTCGCTCGCATCATATCAGTGGCGTCCTTTGAGAGACCAACCACATTCATCCTTTTGCTGGTGATGGTGTACAGGCACACGACGAGATACAACGTGGTCCGCTTGCAAGTTAACCGCTGTTACAAGTCATCGCCAGTGCGCCACATATATGGGATGATTTCACGCCTTTATCCTATTTCGAAGACAGACAAGGGAATGACATGTCTACGGCATAGAAATAAATGGGAAGTACGCGATTAACGTCTTCCAAGCCCACTCATGCCCCATACAACCTCCGCCTGCACGAAATCAAAATTTGCCCAACTTTCTTAGCATCAGATCGCGGATAGCGGCCCAGCTGAACGGCATCCACCAAGCATATGGACGTAAGGCTTGCGGGTTTCAGGAATTTCTTGGTGAGGTCGATGGTTTCCAGCGCGACGCGCTTCCGCAAATTCCTGCAAAGTGGTATCATCCACATCGGGATTTTCTGCAGAGGCTTTAATATGCTTTGTAACGGCTTCTGCAAGGAAGATCGCGTCCCTGATGCTCAGGTTCATGCCTTGGCCGCCCGCCGGTGAATGTACATGGGCTGCATCACCGACTAGGAAAATAGCAGCGCCAAGACGCGTGAATGTGCGGCCAGCGATGGCTGAATGGGTTTTGAAAACCAGACCAGCTGGTCGATCTTAACAGGTGATGGGCTAAGAGAGGAATTTGATAGTATACACGCTGGACCGTATGTGTTGATCACGTTCTGGATATACTCCTTCGTTGGTGCATGGGGCGGCTTTCCATTTTTCGCTGGTATGGCGCAACTTACACGGAAGATGGAGTTTCTGGTGGGGTTTCCATCTCGCGTCAGCTCCGCATTGAAGTGGTTGCCGAATAGCATAAGCATGAAGAAGCTGTCCGAGGAGATTGTGCCATTGAGGTGGCCCTTGAGGGTCAGTGACCCGACAGGTTCGGGCTCGAATGTAACATCTGCAGCGACCATCTGAGCAAGTACGTGATCGACTCGGTTTGGGCCTTCTGGGTCAGAGAACCCTATTCCAGCAATGGTACGGGTCTGGATATAGTCGTCAGACATTCCACAAAGCTCAGTTGACAATGAGCTCTCACCACTGAGTGGGCACCATCTGCGTCGATGATATATCTAGCTTTGATGACTTGACCGTCCTCAAAGTAGACATCAGTAATGCGAGGATCCTTCTCACTCTGTTTCATTCCAACTACCCTGTATGGACGCTGCACTGGAACCCCAAGGCTCTGTAGCTTCTGCCCAAGCACAAGATCCGTCACATTTTGAGGGGTGACGAGTGGGTAAGGGTGGGCGGAATGTTTCTTGAGAGGTCAAAATTGACCTCAAAGATCTGCGAATTACGGGATGCGATTCTGATGCTCTTCGCCTTGATGGCTTGAGACAGTAAGTCATCTGCCGCGTTGATTCTGGCTAAAGCCTGCGATCGAAAGATCATTAACGTTCCTTCAAGTCCTTATGAACGCCCATGTGTCAGCATACCTCGACGGTTGCAGAGTTTATGGAATAAGTCAAGCCTTGTCTGGTAAGTACGCACCAACTTGTCAGGCATGCCTCTCGCGACTCCCCAAGTAAAATGCTTATGAATGTAGAACATACGAATAAACCGATTATAAGCCACACAAAAGCACAAGAGTAGGACCCTGCAAGGTATCGACTTTTTTCAAGGTGCTTTACAGTCGCCACGTCGCGTCATTGATTCAAGGGGATTAGGGAAACGGGTCATGGCAATTGGCAATTTGAAGTTGAATCGTGCGTCACGAGACCGCGTCAAATTGGTCGGCGAAATGCTGTCGGGATCCGGGACAGTATATACCTTACTTCTCGCAAGTTCCACTTGCAACGTTACTTTCGTTGTATCGCCTGCACTACACAGGTACCCTCCCGGGCTTATTCTCTCAGGTACATTCAGATCTAATGTCTGGCTATTCTCCCATTTGTGTCACCAACCATTCAGGATGTCTACCTCTCCCGCTGCTGTTCCGACTACCCCGAGTCTTCACACTGGGGAGTCCTATCAGGAGAAGGCTTGGAGAAAATTCAGGGAGCAACCATTAGTCCCTATAGGTGCGCATAATGCCACGATATTTCCAGGTTACTCTGTCCTCTGAATTTGATTTCTCGTGTTACACTAGGCGTCCTTGCGACATGTGGTGCACTGATCATGGCTACGGTCAAAATGAGGCGCGGCGATTCCCAATCTCTGAATAATTGGTTACGCGTTCGTGTCATCGCTCAAGGTGCAACGATCGCCGCTGTCTGTGTAGGAACTTATGCACTGGGCTCGATTGGCGGCGATGAAACAAAACAGACGAAACAACTTGACGAGATACAGGCAAATAGGGAAGCTCGTGCCGGCAGGGATCGAAAGGAGTTCGAGGACCGGTTGATAGTTGCGGAGAGGCAGTGGAAAGAGACTGAAGGTACTTTGCCAGGGAGGGACTCGAATACGAATATTGCCAAGGGTGACTCAACCTCCAAAGCGCTGCCGTCCGTTCCAATGCCTCAAGGTCCTTCGACACGGTCTGGGGGAAGTTGGTGGTGGTTTAAGTGGCCGTGGGGCGGGTCCTCAGCTTCCTGAAGTACTTCATGAAGCAACAAAAAGAAATTTTTGCAATACAATAATCCAGACATCCTTCTCTTCCATTCATATAATAATACAGTCACTGATCGGCAAATCCAGAACACACTTCATTTCAGCAAGAAAACAGCATGACGTTGAGGGTTGACTGTGCGACAGTCAATACTCAAACGCATGGCATCTTCCTGTTCTCCGAGTCAGTGTCCATTCACCATTCTGCGCAGTAAGGCGAACGTCTTCTCTATTATCCATTCATCATCCACACATGTCTGGTGGTATCCCGGCTCACGTATCTCTTCGGGTACGCACGTCACTTTTGTTCTTCAACTGCCAGCCGCTCGCCGCCATATAACTGATTCATGACTGCACACCGTCTTAATACTGAAAGCTCCTTCACAGCCTCGTTGTATGCTTGTGAAAACTTGATGGGATCTTGTTCTGCCTAAGTCAATCAGCATCACGATACTATCCTTTTGAGAATTATTGAGTCAAAACATACTTGCATCCCACGGAATGTATCCTTTGTCCTCCGAACAAAGTAGTTGCGAAAGTTATATGAACTGAATGATTTTGCTGTCCGCAAGGTGGAGGAGTAGAGGCCTAATACGACCTTACGAGCAGGTGGGGTCACCATTGTTTGGAAACAGAGATGGGGGAAGCAATGCAAGAAGACTTGGTGGTGAACGTCTCTAAAACGTGTACGTAACACGTATTATATAAGCGAAAGAGCAATATTAATGTCGACTACTCCCGCAATGCTTTCTTTGTTCAACTAAATTGACAACAAAACGTTCAAAATGCCCGCATCCGAATATCTCTATGTCAATCGTTGCAAAATTTGAGTGGGGACTAGCTTTACATTGGCTGTGGCATTTCGAGACACGGTAAAAGTTTACCTTCGAGGTCATCTGCGACTCCCGTCTCAGATGCCCACTGAGGTAGCTAGACCTTTCTTGATTGCCCACCCATGTAACGCTACAATCAACACCACAATATTTGGTTTATCGAACAGTGGCTCACTTAGCCACACTGACATAGGAAAGGATCTTCTTGGATCTCCGGTTGACTTTGATTAATCCTAGATGAGAGGCTTTGGACACAACAACTGCCAGGCCATCGGGATCAATTTTCTCAGTTTCGGGCTCTAGCGTTTCTAGTCACCGCCATCTTTATCAATCTGTGGATATAGGTTATCTATCCAGGAGATCAGTCCTGCGTGGTCTTGTGTGCTTCCCAGCTTCTTGCTACCCTGCTAATTCGGGTGGCTTCTCCAGGCATGTCCGACACTTCTTTGCTCCCCTGTCGTTTGAACCCTAATATCAGCTAAAGATGATATCATATCTCACTAGACCGATCACAGGGATCAGTGATCACGGATTTTAGTATGTACTCATCAATATTCTGGATGTATTTGGATGTGCGTAATGATTCGCTATCTACTGCATGATGGATTTGGTATCGTCCGTTTTGCTAATCAGTATTCATTCATCAGGTTCGAACTTGGATTCTTACGATATTCTTTCTATCCTTATGATATTATTCCCCGATGCCCGAGGCGCAGGGCATGAGACGAGAAATAGTGTGGGGTTATCGAAGGGAGACCAGGCATTGAAGGTATGTGTTCGTAGCTTGCCGACAGAATGTCGGGTCTTGTATGGACTTGGAGACCTTGCCAGTTGGTGAGCTGTAACCTGGGCTAGCGACTCGGGCTGAGTCTCTGAGAGTGCCGATAAGCTCATTGAGAATTATTGAGACACTGGCAGGTTGCTTCGGTGGGCACATATCCCCTAGGCCTGTGTTAGATCATTGATTTCACTGACCGGAACTGAGTCCTCCTGTCTCCGGGGATCCAAAAGGATGCCGATATCTCTCAGATCGTCATTTTCCTGACTGTCAACATTCCCTGAGCAGTGATTGCTGCAATGGGCACGAGGTATATTTCAGGCGGTAAGCCCTTTTTATGGAAGACTTAAGCGCATCAGACTCAATTCGTGAATGATAGAGGGGCTGATCTTCTTTGGCAATGATCAGCCTTGCACTTATAAGGTAGAACACGAACTTCTCGCGGCCATGATCTGGGTACTCCACACCGTATGGGAGGTCCTCGTACTGTATCTTTGCAGCGCGGATTGCTGTAAAGCACTTCCGTGAACTGCAACGACTCGAACCGTCGACAGGGTGGACTACCAGGGACTCTTTCATGGTGTTCATCCAATGGTTTATGCAAGGTGAACTTGTAATTTCATTGTCGTTATCTTTTGTCACTCAGGTCTGCATGCGACTATGGTTCACCATTTCTATAATACTCATATCACGTTGAAACCCAGCTTTATGTGGATGTTCGTCAAATTTTTTACGCTCGTGCGGTTGTTTGTGCTGGGACCACGCCTCATCCTCGGCGTTCGAGAATAACACGCGAATGCTGTACCTAAGTCCGATGCAGAACCCTACATGATTTTAATCGTTTTCCAGAAGAACGTACGTGTGTCATTATCAAAAATTAAAACGGAGAGGTGAAGGTAAGTAGTCTGAGCACGATTAAATTACATCCACAAGAAATGCCTATTATCTCCTCCCCAGTCCGCTCATCGACCACGCCATCCTCGCTTGCATGAAGCCAAGCTTTCCGCCAACCCACATCACCCAGTCTCGCACAGTAGTAGCCGAGATTGGAAACCACCATGATATCTTCTCATCTTTTGTCCCCAGAAGTGAAAGCAGTGTCTTGGTGAACGCAATCACTTCTAGTGCGCGTTCATGCCTCTCCTCTCCAAATTTGCGCAAGATATAATCAGTGTCGGGTTGCGAAGCAGATGCGTTTATGTGCTTCATCAGAGCCTCTCCAAGGAACACTGCGTCGCGGACGCCAAGGTTCATGCCCTGACCGCCAGCGGGAGAGTGGATGTGCGCCGCATCACCAATGAGAAGGATGATGCCACCGTGTTTCATGGTGGAGTCATCAGCCGCTATGGTAGCACCCTGGAGCTCGTCTTCGCCAAGGCGAGTAAATGCCTTGTCAGCGATGGCGGAATGCGTGCGGAACCGAGTTGACCATATAACTTCCTTGATGCGTACTGGTTTGGAGTTGGGATTGACTGAAGGAACTGATGAGAGATTTGTGGGCCCAAACCGATCAATGAGATTCTGTAGATATTCCTTGCTTGGTGAATGTGGAATCTCCCCATCCACCAGAGGAACACCCGAGCCAATACGGTATATTGTACCCTTGACTTCCTGCCCATTCATGGCGAGGAATTCATTGAATGAGTTTGGCATAGGCACGCAAAGGAAGAAGCTGTCGGGTGTCATTGTGCCTGAAAATTCCACCTTGGTGTCGTCTCCACCTTCGTATATAATATCCGCAAGGACCATTTGAGCCAGGTTGGTAATCCTATCACCCCTCTCGCCAGTCTTAGGATCTGTAAAACCGATACCCGCCATCTGACGAACCTGTCAACGAAAAAAACAGTCAGAGCTAGTAAAGTGACACGAGATTGGCCTTACAACAGAACGAGCGCCATCTGCGCCGACGACATACTTTGCAGTGATGATCTTCCCATCTTCGAATGTGACATCAGTGAGACGGTCATCATTTTCGTTCCTCCTCAAGGAGGCGACTTTGCATGGGCGGTGAACTATCCCACCATAGGCTTTGAATTTCTCGCCGAGAATATGTTCGGTAAGATTCTGTGGGATGATGAGGGCATATGGGTGGCGGGTGTGTTTATCGAGAGACGTGAGGTCGGTAGTAACAAGTGGTGACGAGCGGTTGCCAAACTTGACAATCCTGGTTTTAGTTCCCTTCGCCACGATTTCTTCCCCGCAATCAATGGTGTCCAGCGCCTAATTAAAATAGGTATGTACAGTTAAAATGAGCAAGAATGCATGGCGTACCTCTAACGTCGCGGCATGAACGACCAGAGCGCGTGAGGTATTCTCACCTTGCTCAACAGCATCCACAATGACGAAATCCTTAAAGCCATGATGGAGGAGAGAAAGCGCTGCAACAAGACCAGAGGGTCCTGCACCAACGATCAAAACAGTTGTACTGTTTGGCATAGTCATGGTGGCCATACTGTGTAGAATGGAAAGGGATGGTGCGAACAGCTACACCATTATAGTCGACTTTTATGCTGCCCGGCTGAAGACGCGGATCATGCGGCAGCTGCTGCAGTGCATGGAAAAGTCTCCTATCAGGCGTTTAACTTGTCATTGAACGATCGGCCGATTGGTGACTTAGTGCCGCGATGACCAATCTTGCTGACGTTATGTACTTTACCGATGGGTGCGGCATGGTCAGCCGATGAAAATCGTTTATCGGCGACCGCCGCCGCCGCGTCACATAAGCCGTGTTGGTGGCGATGCCGCGACGCGTCTAGTAATTTGGTCACGCGATTTTGATTTCTGATCCTGGTGCTCCAAGAGCCTGTCAAGTGAATGCTCCGGTCCAGTCTGAATCGAGTCTTGAACTCGAGATCTTATCAACCATCAATCTCCATCCACAGATTACCACTCCTTCCTACCCAACTTCATCGAACTATGGTTTCCGCAGCTGCAGACCGCTTCTTGGCCGACAAGGCTCCTCCGATCTGTCGTGTCGAGGTTGCAAAATCATTCTCACAACTCACGTATGTATACGTCAGTTACCAGACGCTGAGGTCGTTGATTAGTATACAGACCAAAGGAGAAGCTCTATGCTCATTACGTTGGACAAGCTTCATGGGCAGGTGCTCGGATCATTCAAGAACAGTGGACTCCTCAAGCACTCAGGCTCTACGATCTCCTCATCCTCATCTTCAGCTCCCATGGAAAATTGGCCGATTTGGATGCACTCAGACACAATTCTGGTCTTTCTTATGAAGATTTCGAGCAAGTACTGCAATATTCATCTCAGGCAAGTGCTCCTCGTTCAACTCGTCGCGTGCCTCGTGCAATTAACCCCTTTCATTAAAGGTTTTGCACAACTTGGTAAACTACAAGAGTTTCGGTTTCACGAAGATCGTACCTCGCGTTTCCGAAGAAAAATTCGCAGCTGTGGTCGAGAAGTCATTCAATGCAGCCAATGCCATTCCTTTGTGGAACGAGGCGAGTAGCTAGATACACATCGATGGCCAGAGCTAACGAACAATACAACCAGTTGAAAGAGCATATTTACGCGCTCTCGCCTGAAAACTCCCTCTCCATCGGCAAACCAAGGGATGGGCATATCTCCAATTATTACCTTGGTCAAACGATCACCGACGAAGAGGTTGCAGCCGTTCAAGCTGCCGCTGAGAAGATCGGAGTCGACGTATTGAACACTCGGTAAGCATCCTCTTCAAATCTGCTATGTATATGAAACGCCTCTGATTTCCTTGTAGCGTCCGCAAGAATGGGCCCCGCGACTTTACCCTTCTCGTTGCCTCTGCCAACAAGACTGAATCGATCATGCATGAGATAAACGCAGAATCGAAGCCTATCAAATTGACGGTCGAGTATGGCGATTTCTCAGCGGCATTAGCAGCGGCCGTTGCTGCTTTGCATGAGGTCCGGTCAACTTCATATTCATCTATATGTTTCTGTTTCTTACCTTTTTTTTTCAGGCCAAAAAGTACACCGCCAATGACACCCAGACAAAGATGATTGAGGGCTACATCAATTCGTACGTCTCAAGTCTTGTACCCTTGTATTGCCCTTACTATACTATTCAATCAGCTTTGAGACTGGATCGATCGAGGAACACAAAGCAGCCTCGGCACATTGGGTAAAGGACGTCGGCCCCGTCGTCGAAAGCTACATAGGCTTTATTGAAACTTACGTTGACCCATACGGTGGTCGTGCCGAGTGGGAAGGCAAGCCACTTGTGTTCACTGATGTTCGCAATGCTGACTGCCTCTGGTAGGTTTCACTGCCATTGTGAACAAAGAGCTCAGCGCCAAGTACGACGTACTCGTCAACGACGCACCAGAGCTGATCAAGGTCTTGCCCTGGGGTAAGGACTTTGAGGTCGATGTATTTAGAAAACCGGATTTTACTGCATTGGAGATTGTGAACTTTGCAACAGGAGGCAAGTGCGTTTCGATCGCCAAATGTTTTGGCTCATTTAAGATTACGCAGGTATTCCCGCTGGTATTAATGTGAGTATATGGTATGGTATATCTATAAGGGTGACTGACTGATGGCGACACTATCAAGATTCCCGTGAGTATTCTTAGTTGGGGGTGAAATCATCATACTGACATGCGTTGCTAAGAACTATTATGATATCCGAGAATCGACTGGCTTCAAGAATGTCTCCCTCGCTGTTAGTATATTTGCAGGGGTAGATATGTCATATACTCATCATTCTCATAGAACATCCTTTCGGCCAAGGCGCCGGGTAAGTCCTGCCGTCAGCCATAACTCGTTGCACTACTTATTCTTGCTTTATGCAGACGAAGAAATAACCTTCATCCATCCCGACGATCTCGACCTGTACAATGAATGGGATTCACGCGTCTTCGAGCTTCAGGTTGCCAACCACGAGCTATTGGGCCATGGATCCGGGAAGCTTTTCCAGGAAGCTGTTGACGGCTCAAAAAACTTTGATCCAGAGAAGGTTTGTGGATTCTTACCCTGAGCGCGGCCGTAATCTGAGGTTGCATACTGCAGGTCATCAACCCGCTGACTGGGAAGAAAATGTATGCACATACTTCTGAGACCATGTAATTGACTTGAACGTGGCATAGCACATCGTGGTATAAACCTGGTCAAACACCAGGTTCGGTTCTTGGCGAAGTTTCGTCATCAATGGAGGAGTGTCGCGCGGAAACCGTCGCCCTCTACCGTGAGTTGTGGAGAGCTCCCTCGTAAAGTTGCACGATCACTAAACGCTGTTAGTCGCAAGCAATCCAACGATCCTCAAGATTTTCGGCGCGAGTCCATCCCTCTCACTGCTTGTGCTACTCGCTGACAGCTCTGATTTCAGTATACCGACAAGAAAACTTGCGATGATGTTGTTTATATCACTTTCCTGCTGATGGCACGCGCAGGTCTACGCGCTCTTGAGTACTATGACCCTGCCACGAAGAAGCATGGACAAGCACACATGCAAGCTCGGTGAGTCGGCGGCTTTCGTGTTACGTGAGATAGCCATCTAATTGCTTCGGTACTTAGTCTCGGAATCACCCAGCACATGATCAAGGAAGGTCTTGTGACCTTTGAAGAGGTTCGCAGCGCAGATAATTCGCTGGAGAACCTGTATATTCGCGTCAGTTTCTTTGTACCGCGCCATCAGAGATCTCAACTAATACTCTTCATCAGCTTGACCGCCAGAAATGCCTCGCCCATGGGCAGGCTGTTGCAGGAAAGCTTCTCATTGACCTTCAAGTCCGGAAGAGCACAGCTGATGGTGCTGGAGCACGGGACTTCTATACGAAGCTCACTACGCCTCTTCCAGGATGGGATAGCGAGATCCGGGATGTTGTTCTCAAAAAGAAACTGGTGCGTGTTCATCGCGGAACGAAATGATATGAACTTATCGTTTTGTAGCCTCGCAAGTTGATGATGCAGCCCAACACTTTCGTCGTGAATGGTCAAGTGGAGATGAAAGAATACCCCTTGACACCCGCCGGTGTGATTGAGAGCTACATTGAAAGACGGCTATGAAGCTTTATTCGATTCTTGCTTGGTAACGGTAATGATAACTACACAACTGACTATGGACCATGGTGTGAACTGTATATAGCAATATTTTTACCTGATCGATGACGCGTCAAGATGTGTCAGCGCGTTGGAGGTCATGTGTTTTCAAAATCAAACAGCTCTCCGATTTGTTGTTCCATTTCACGATGTTGTTCCTTGGCCCAAGGTCATCGATAGTGCCTCGCCTAGCCGCGCGCAGGGCCATTTATCTATCAGAGTCCGTGTCACAGCGTGCTAATCGGCCAATACGTCTATACTCCGTCAGACAACCGGTCTACCCCCCACCCCGACCGTTCCAGTTTCATTTTGGCGCCAGCTGGGCAGCGAAGCCGCCAGAAAAACCGCGCATTCATGTGCCTTTCTCACCAGACACTACGGTAGGACGCTGGCGAGATGAGACGCTTGGACGATGGAACAATGGGACGAGCAGAGATGCAGGAGAGGACTTTTTCTTCGTGACAGAGGTGCGTCTCGGACGTTCTGGCCGCTACATGTTCAACTCAAAAGTTCTCTGTCTCGTTGCGTGGATATTTTCCTATATGACAGATGCAAAATAGCTCGGTAGGTACGTTCATGCCCCCCTATATATTTCCTTTGTATTCACAGCGCGGTTTTTATTGCTAGGGAGTGTCATTTGGTGTTGCTGATGGCGTGGGTGGATGGGTTGACTCAGGCGTTGACCCATCGCTTTATGCACAAACACTCATGTATCATGCACATCGTTACTCGCGATCTGGATGGGCTGGCGAACCAGAAATCGATCCAACTCAAGAGTACGAGGAGCGCGAAAGAGTTGAGGGATGGGAGTTGACACCATATAAATGTCTCGAGTGCGCCTACCATGGTGTATTGCGGGAGCGTCTTGTCAATGCAGGTCTGTTCCTTAGTGCTCTCGCCCATATATTTACCCTGAACATCTACCAAGGATCCAGTACTGCTTGTTTGATCAGTCTTAACGCATCGTCAGGTGTATTGCGAGCTGCGAAGTACGTGGACTTTACTATCAGAGGAATCCAACTGAGGCAGGCATCGCATAGTCTTGGTGACAGTGGGTTTCTAATCATCCGATCGTCTTCGGTTATATACCGACAGCCACCGCAAACTCATTTCTTCAATTGCCCATAGTAAGATGCATTTCATTGACAAACTTTCTGATTTGGATGCTGTTCTCAATAGCCAACTCACAAAATTCCCGCCAAACATGGTACAGTCCGCTCACTTTGCTGATCACCCAAATCGGGCTGCTCAGTATGAGACCAAACTTCGGGATGGGGATATTATCATTGCATTTGTGCGTCGTTTCTAACTCTCGTTGGATGACGTACCGAAGGTTCTGGGTGCAGACTGACGGACTATCTGACAATGTCTTTACGCCTGACATTGTCGCCATCTGCTCCCTTGTAGCACGCTCAGGTGGCTCTGAAGATGCACAAGCGCAGATGATGGCTAACCGCATTGTTGAGTATGCGCAAGTGTGTATGCGAGAACGGAAGAAGGCGACCCCATTTTCACGTAGGTCATGCTTTTGTTCAAATGCCTCTCATCTTATGCATGCTTGTGTTCTTAGGTGAAGCTTTACGGGAGGGACTTTATTACCGAGGAGGGGTGCGTTCTTGACTTCACATTTTTTTCTGGGACTTCCTTAATGTTTTGAGCTTGCAGAAAATTGACGAGTAAGCTATTGCTTCTTGTGTGTGATTTTTTGCTGACGTCGACACTGCAGCGTTACGGTTGTGACAGCTATAGTGCGCGAGACCGTATGATATCTGAGCGCGACCTTCATTGAAGAGTACACATGGACAATTGATGCAACAACCCATATCATCTACTACTAATTACTCGGTGCCACTTTTTCTTAACTCTTGCAATATCGTGCGGACTTTTTTGCTATAGTACAATTTTGTCTCGCATCAAGTCGCCAATCACGTTGCTTGGCTTCGCGCGACAATAGATTAACATGCAAGTTGGAGCATGCACCACGCAACTGCAGTATAATGTGACTCATTCAAAGGTAGAAAACCAACGGGTCCCGTCACCGACTTGCATGTACTTCAGTAGACAGATTTGCAATTGAATGACTCTTATGGACGCTTTGCAAAATGTCTTGTTGAATCTAGATAGATAAGGTAAAAGCACCAACACGTCCATGCAAATTAGCTTGATTTATCGTCTACTATGATATACACCAAGCAGAGTCGAAAGCTTATAAGAAGATATACAAGTGGCGAGCCAAGCCAGTCCATGCGTAAATGTTCCAGTTAATTAGATATTCTGACAGAGAGTGCAGTGGAACGTGATCTCGTTTCGGAAGATAGCAGCTAAAAATGCGATGTTAGTGCGACAGATCGTGGAAGATGTGGGGTGGACTTACGCAGAACAATAAGAGATGCCAGACCCGACACCACGAGGATATAAAGCAAGGTATATTTAATGATCTGTTTAAGACGTTAGCTGGTGGAGTGATGGGTAGATCGTGACACTCACGATCCATCGTCTTTGTCTCTTCTGCTTGGTCGAGTAAAGAGGTGCTCGAATCTGTTTGGATGGGCGGAGCCAGACTATCACCAGTTTAGATATACAAAATGATAAAAGGCTCAACAGTATCACTTACACAGCATGGTTGAATGCAGCTTGTCGACGAATGGAATGAGAACGGGTGCCGTCAAAATTATGAGGAGAATGTGACCGAGCAAGAAGTCCGAGCTCCACAAAGACATCTCGACGATCTTCACGATGAATTCACGAGCTGGCTGAGACATGGCGGAATTACCGAGGCCACGGCCATACCATTTACCAGACCACCATGCACGGTTGGTTTCGTCATGTTTGAACTCGCGAGAAAGGAAGACTGCGATGAGAATCTTCTGGATCGCACGCTGAATGGCAACGATAGTGATGACGCCGAGCACTGCATGAGATGCGTCCCATAGCTCAAGGAACCACTAAAACGCACACTTCGGTTCAGTATCCCTAGAGCGTAGATCGAACTACTTACGAAGAACTCGAAGAATGAGACAATTCCAAGCAGCGCTAAGAAGTGAGCGACGGCAGCCATGACTGAGGCAAATCTCGCCCACTTGTCGAACATGGGACCCAAGAACAACGATACGAAAAACAGCGACAAGAGAACAGCAGCGTTCCAGACGATAGGACCAATCGCAATAACAGCTATCCGAACCAAGGGGCTGGGGTTCTGCTCGCCAGCGCTGTTAGGGAATGACTTGACAAACATGTATGCGATGATGAAGATGGTCGCATGGCAGATCGGCCAGACGACCTCCGAAAAGACAACAGCTCGCCATGGGGCACGAGGGAGGTCTCCTGACAACTTTTCTGATGGATGGCCAAGCTTCTTCTTCTTGTACCCGGTTATCATCGTCCTGGAAAGACGGCAGTATCCATACCAACTGCTCGCTTTCGTCCTGGAGTTACCTCGCGACATCCAACGCAGGAACTCGCGATAGTCGATGATGAAGTCGGCAAATGAGAACTGATGAGGGTTAAAGAGAAAGGGAGCAATGCACAAAGAGAGCACGGAGAACCAGAAGTAGAAGAGATAGGGAATCCAAATCGCTAGAGAAGCATAGAGAAGGATAAGCAGATTCCTCATGCCCATGTAGATACTCGGTCCTGCAAAGCGGGAATACAAAATGCTGAAGGATATCCGAGTCGTCGCAAAACCACGGCCAGTTGCGATATAGCGAGCTCCACCGAATGTCAGATTGCTCAAGATAGCTTGAGAGTATATCTGCGTTGAAAAAACCTCAAAGACGGGAGACAATGACAAGAAGTGCTTTCCAAGACGAAGCAGCGCTTTGCCCGTTCCACGCTCAACAAGTTCTGCGGCTCGTCAGTCAGTAAAGCCCAGGGTAAAATGACAATGAAATACCTTGCAAGAAGAGAGGCAGGAAGGCGATGAAGAACACCAAGAAAATGGAGACGATGCAGCGCTTGATCCAATCGAAGACGGGAATGAGATTGTAGCACCCAGAACCCTGCTGACCACCGAGCACATTGCCCTGCGCATCAACTTGACAGATCGCGAGCTGCTTGTTCAGAGTTCCGATGAAGAGCACTACAATTCGTCAGGAACGCAGGTCGAATGCGCAACACATCGAGACTCACGAGTCATCATGAACACCTGGATCGAGTAGATGACCAAGATATTGTTGATGTGGAAACCGGGGTGTCCGTAGTAGAAGGTCAAGAAGCGATCGATAGGCAACTGCGTCCCGAGGTAGTAGTACTCCCGACTGAGCATCTGCTCACCCATACCGGTACCGATCTTGGTCTGGAAGTTGAGAATCGTGCCGAACCCAAGATCACGGCCCTTTCCACACTGGTAGTACTCCGAGTGCTTGATACGACCACCACGCCCAAAGGCGTTCATGCCGGCGAAGATATCCTCGTTGAGATGCAAACCCTTCTGTGCCTTTGAAACTCCACCGCGCGTTGTCATAAATAGGGCATTGAGGAAATCAGGGTGTCCATAGTGCAGCTTGCCTCCAATCCATGCGAGTGCACGAGCCGTCATCGTACCGAACGTCTGTTCCTTCCCAGCAGCAATATCACCCAACACACCAATGTTCTCCGAGAAGATGTACTCGCGCGTGCCGACAATAGCAACGGGGGACTTCTTGAACTCCTTGTGACCCCATTGCGCGTACGGACTCTGGCTTGAGATGGAGTACTCCTCAAACTCGCCAAGGATGTTGCGAATCTTGAGACATTCTTCAAGGTAGTTGTCCTGGTTGGCATCGATGAGCTGAAGGTATTCACCGCGGTAGAAAATGATGGCATGATTCTGGTTATCTGACTTTCCATCACCAAGAATAGGATTTCCAGGCAGCTCAATGCGGAACTTTGGCTTCCGTTTACCAGTGACCTCGTCAATCTCTGAATGGCCATCAATCAACGCCGAAAACAATCGAGGGTCGCTGCCTTTTGGCCCGGCCTCTTCGTCAAGGTACGCAATCTGCAGATCTGGATACGCGCGCAGCAAAAACTCAGCATTCTCCTGCTCCTCCTTGTTGAACTTCGAGAACCGCTGCATGGAAATGGCAAACTTGAACTTCCGCCGTGCCATCCTTTCCAGCTCCCGCTCGAGCTTCTCCGTGTTGCCCCCAAATGCGGCCACGATGCCGGGGTTCTCGACGCGGTAGAGAAGCTTGATCGCCTTGGAATAGTTCATCATGCCAGATACGGTCCGGTACAGCGTCTGTGCGCGCAGCGAAGCCCATATACGCGTGCGGAGGGTGTATTCTGGACTCGATGTCTTGAAACCGATGCAGTAGAACGGCAGGTCATCCGCTTTGCTGCTCGCCTGCTTCTCATTGATCGAACTCGTCCCATCATCACTCTCCCCAGCAAGGATCTTTGTGTCCTTCACGAAGTTGTCCCATTCAACAGAGTGGAGCTGCTTCAGGTACTCAAGCAACGTCACACGGGTGTTCTGGTCTTCTTCGCGGATGATTTCGCGTAAGCTGAGTAAAATCTTCTCAGAGTAGTGCGGAACGAGGACTGTGAACGTGGGCATGGCTTCCACGGGGAGAGGCTCGGGCAGAGCGGTGGTGAGGGAACTAGCAAAGAACGAAATCCTGCGCTCAGCCTCGCCATTTGCAGGGAAGAACGTGTCTTTATAGTTCCCACCGGTTTGATTCAGGAAGAACGGAGGGGGGTTGAGCGTTCGGCGGCCGTCAGCGCCTTCAGCTTGGTGGTACAGCAACCGCTGGACATGTTCGATCCCAAGGAGGTGCTCACGATACATGGAGATGATGATGGCGTTCCAGATCTGCGAGACAAGAACCTTGGGTTTGTATTTGACTTCCATCTCAGCAGTGGCAAGGAGTTTGGCGTAGATGCGCTTAGGAAGACGGGTATACACATCTTTCCAAGGTGTCCAGATCGATAGGCCAAGCGAGAAAGAGCGACCAACAGAGAAGACGACGACCCAGATGATATACCACAAGTACGTGTCAAGGAAGAACAGGATCAAGTCCATGATATACATGATGGTCAACGTGAAGGGGACCTGTTTCGAGCAGAGCAGGGTGCCGAAGAGCTTATCATTGCATCCCTGCACAGTAGTCCGCGCCATGACCGCGATCGGCGAGCTGAAGGAACTGGTGAGGAAAAAGTACGATTCTGTGAATTTGCATCCGAAGACGAGAAGCCACAGCATGATGCTTGCAGTACGTGCAGACCGCGTAAGTTCCGGGTAAGATGCAGTAAATGTCTGCGAGGCCATGTACTTGCGTGACTTGCCAGCAACCCGGTCACCGAACATGCGCCCGGAGGGGAACAATCCGAAAGCAACAGTCGCAACGATAGAGATGAAGAACTGCACAATGCCGACGATAAGAGGAATCTGCGATGTGGTGGGGTTCGTCCGGCTCTCGACATATGCAATGTACACCGTCGGGCCGCCAGTGAGCGCCAGAATAATGAGGAGGAATATGAATCGGGTTGTGAGATGGGAGGCGTTATTCCATGTCGTGGGGATATACATGAACTCGGCGATGGTGGCGAAGAGCATGATCAGCGTGGCAACGGCGCCTCCAAGCGCGGTCGCGGACCAGGTCATCGCGGGCGAAGGGAACTGGGAATTTGGAGGCGCGTACACTCTGGGGGAGTTGAATGCGGTGTAGAACCAGTAAGTTGCGATGTGGAGAATCCAGATGCGGTTGAAGTTGACAAGTAGATGGGCAGTAGAACGCTTCTCAAAGTAAGTCTTGAAGAAGACTTTACTCCAGTCCACACGGCGCAGGCTCGTATAGCGCTTGGCGGGCGTAATGTCCACAAGACGAGACTAGAGATATATTAGCCTGACGCATGTTGTGGGGGGAAATCACCTACATGATTATCAAGGACGATCCGTGCCAGACCCTCAGGATACCAGAAAAGCTGGTTAATGTCGTCATATCCAATGATCTGGTCATGGTCCCTCTCCCTTCTGACGAACTTGCCCTCTACAACTTCATAACCCTGGTCACGCATGAACGTGTATAGTGGTTTGATGATTGTTTGCAAGTAGAGACCCTCCCGCACGGGCTCCACGCTATTCTGGCATTCGGGACTACGGTAGTAATCATCTGCGCACTTAAAGATAAAGCACAGGCACTCTGGTACAAAGCGCACATTGCCTGCCTCGCCCCAACAAAGGAGGTAAAGTGCTATCTGGCGGAGCCTGTCGTACTGACTCATGCCATTCATCGCGGCACGCCAGCGACCCAGTGCACTGTCCAAGTGTTTCGAGCCGGGGGTTTTGACTGCGCCACCTCGAACACTTTTGAGGCGCTGTAAGCCGGGGTTCTGTGTTTGTCCGACGGCGTCATCAAGGTTGAGCTGTGCGGCGAAGTACCACTTGCGATAGTTTGCGTGTTGTCCACCGATGTAATCAGCATGAAGAGTTAACAGGGCGTGATTTGGACTCATGCGGGAAGCGCGGGAGTCGAGAGACTGCATCAAAAAATCAAACTGGAAAAAAATAGATTAGTAGCTGTGCGTGTCATGGTTGTATGATGCACGAACCATGTTTCGCATGGAATCACGCTGAAACCCGAATTTTTGGGTGAGGTCTAGGAAAATGTCCTCTATTTCTTCCATGGAAATTGGTATCTGACGATCTGGAGACCAGGCTGGGTATGGATGGGCGGCCTGACCTGAGTCGGCGAATGGGGAGCCATATGGTTGGCTTGCCTGTGAGTTGATGGATGGTGCGTAAGAGCGACTGCCGTGTCCAGCATCAGAAGCAGAGTCGTGGCCTGCGAATGGGTTCGAATCAAAATATTGCTGATTAGCTGCAAGACGAGTAGTGCTAGCATAAGGAGTGCCAATCTCGGATTCATTGTCATAGTCTTGTCGAATAGGTTGTGGTTGTTGGTAGAAATTTTGCTGGCCGTAGGGGTTTGGGAAAGGATTATTGGGCTGTTGTTGCCCATTGGGTGGTTGAGCCATGTTGATAGTCTCTACGAATGATCAGTGGTCGAAGTAAAGAGCGACTATGGAGAACAATAAGAAGTACTGAAAAGAGAGGAAAGTCAGCGCCCAGCGGTGATGAAGGTGAGCAAGCAAGGATAATGGAGATGAGACACCAGAAAGAGCGCATCGATATAGAACAAGTACATACCCGTGCGAAATTGGTTACTACGAAGAAAAAATAGCAGTCGCTGGTCAACGACGATCACGTTCAGCACAGCGCTTGTCCTGATGTACTTCCACGATTATTTCTGCGCCTGTCAGGTATATCTATGGATACTCAGCACGTCGCTGGCCGTGGCTAGTAACTGGTCGGGCTTTCCAACATGATTGTTCAACCAAACAAATCAAAACACCCACAATCCACACACGTGATCTCATAAAACACGTCGCGACGTCGTCGCGTCCTTGCTTAACTTTACACCCTGTCCATGCCTCAACCAATTATACTATGGAACACTAAACGACACGCAACTCACGTCTATGACGATGCAGGCATTTCCATCACTAAAACTATACTCGCTCCTCTAGGCCCACCAGCCCCCTATAACACCCAGCCGCCAAACAATTTGAGGACCGTCCCACCCCTCGCATACTTCTGCATTCGTGCCCTCACCCCATACGCCGATCAGCTGCACAACCTTCAGAATCCCGTACCTTACAATAAGGATGTTGCTCGTGCTTTAGTCCCGACAAAAGCGGTCCCCCGTCATGTCATCGCTGCCCGAAAGCAGGATTCCCAAAGTACAATGGACTCTGGCGGGCAGTTTGACGTTCAGAGCGTTGACCCCAGACTGTTGGCAACACTCGCGCAAGTTATGCACCCGATTCCTGCAGAGTTCAGGCACTATGACATACCCCTCAGTGATGTCCACTTGCCGTTGCTCCAACAAGTGCCCAGTCGGGATAACTTCTGCTTCATAACTCTCCTGTCCCTACCGGGTTGCCAGGAGGTGTCTGACAACACCATTTTCGTCATTCGGCGCTTGAAAACCCTCGCTGCGCTCGATCTGAGAGGAACAACCGTAGGATCCTATGGCCTTACCGTGCTTTCTCGTGACTTGTCATGGAGCGATGACGAACTACAATCCAGGACTGGTTGCTGGGGACTCAGAATTCTGTGCCTGCATAGCTGCACCAACATAGGCAACGAGGCTCTCCCCATATTATCCAATTTCCCCCTGCTATCGTCTATTGGTACGTACCTTTTTTCTTTCTCCATTCCGCAAGCCATCTCATTCGTGTCGCATTACCAGACCTTCGCTTCACTGGATGTACACGGCACGCTGTCTCCAAACATCTGGCTCCTGCTGGCTTCAGACCCTCCTCAAAGCGTATCTTGTTTTATCCTGCTCCACTGGATGTCTCGCTCAGTGCGCTCGAGCACCTTCCCCAATCATCAATTTACTCGTGCCCAATCACCTCCGTATTCAAGCTGCACGTTTCCGAGCTCAACCATCGCACATCCTTTTCCGAGCACGAAGCCAAACCATTCATCCTCCGGAACATGATGGAAGGACCAATAAGCCTAATAGATTCGGATTCAGATGAAGAATGCAGCTGGCCTGCACCAGAACCTGTCTCTCGGAATGTCCAGGCACGCACGACATCCACTTTCTACACATCGCGCCTGCCTCGTTTAGAAACTCAGATACGGGCGGCGAGCGATAAAGAGCAGCTTGACCCATTGGCTTTAACACGCCCTCCACCCCCGTGGAGTGTACTGGAGGCGCTTCGTCCACCAGTACGACAATTGGATGGTCCGCGAGAGCAGCAGCCCCCGAAGCTGGCATCCGTGGACCGTGCACGTCTCATCAAGCGTAACTTGTCAGGCGTAGAGGATATGCTTACGACCATATTCAATAATAATAAAAAACGGAAAACGGAAAGTGAATTCGCCAGCGCGAGTGCACCTCTAGTTCCCGTTTCGAAAAAGAGGAATCCTTTCCTAAAATCCAGTGGCTCGACTTCCAAATCAAACGGATCGGGTGGCATGGTGCGATCCGTGTTCGCTGAGCAGAGAGATGCTGCTATTTCATCAGCCCATGTTAAACGAGGCATGACTATCGCGAAACCGTGGCCGAAGTTCTGCGATTCAGGGCCCTTGAAGCCCTCAAAAACTTCCACGGCTTCGAGCTCCTCTGGTAAGCCGTTGTCCAAATTCCCGCCCGCGAGCAGCTCACGTTTGTCTGACACCTCGAAAGCTGTCCAGAACAGTCCGAAGGCTCCCGCCAAGATTTTCAGACCCATCACATCGTACCCCGTTCCACCGTGTCCGCCAGAGCACCTCCTGCTTGTGCCACAGATCTATCCAAAGAAGAGGACACAGGCGGTTGTCCAACAGTTTCCCCCATCGACGGCGCCGGTAGACGGGAGCGATGACATTGTTGAAGTCGAAGGCATTGGTCCCATTAGGGATGACGATTCCAAGAGGGACGAGAGGCCTCCGAAGAAAGCTGGGAGAGATCGTGGTGGCACAAAAAATACGACGAAGAAAGGCAAGCAGAAGGCAACTGGATTTGATTGGGATAAATGGAGACGTACTACCATGTAGTTGTGCTATTATCTTTTCTTTATGTGCTCCCTATGTACTTTATTACTACTTATACCCATTCAACCAAGTCGTACTTGTACTACTTTGTCCAAGTATTTCAAACTTAAAAGCAGACGCGAAACTCATCACGTGAAAGGCGTTTCCTCTCGAGTCTTAAGCAGATCAGTTTCTGAGTTCATACGGGCTAATGTCCAGGCACGATGGACTACTTCTCCAAGTTCCTCCGCGCAACGCCCCAAGCCGCACCAAAGCCCGTTCAAGACCACGCAGCTGAATTCAGCAGATCATGGAATCTCATCAAGGTACTACTCCCTCCCCCATAGATCTCAAATGAACGCTTAGCATGCTCGTAGACAATACTCGAACACCCAGACGAGCGGCAGCTCACGAAGGGCATCAAGTCCACTGATGCCCCAGCCCACTTGCAGTCTATGGTCGACGCCCTGGTGTGGGAATCGTCCCGTACCGAAGAAGGGTACGTGCTCTGCAACCATGAAGGTCTCGTCGATAGCATTTATGATTGCTCTCGGTCAGCGCGACCGGTGCTTGCTTAGAATTTTTGCTCAAGAATGGTCTGCATTCATCACTACAATCTATCTTACATGCCTGGAGCTAATAGTTCTTTCCAGACGTTTTGGGTACACTCGTACGCCTCTCAGAACCCGACCGACCTTCTGGAATCCAGGCCGAGGTGCTCCGTGCGGTTCAGAACATGGTGATCCTCATGGATGAGCAATTCCTCGTGCACTCTGCCGTACACCGCGCTGTCTTGCGCCTCCTGCGCAACTGTGTCGGAGACGACATCCAAGAACAACTAGACGGTCGGAGTAGGGTTATGGGAGCTGCCAAAAATGCCGTGCGGTGCCAGCCGTCTGATTATGAGCTTGATCGTGAGTGTTTGTCTCGTGCTTGGTGATCTGTAGGGCTGATGGATGGTAGTGTTGAACCTGCTGTGTATTTTGTGCAGCCGTATCCGGACGTACCGCGAACTGTTAATGATCTTCTTCCATGATAAGCACTGGTACCATTCGGAGCCGCTTTTCTCTGTTGAAGAAGAGGATGAGGACGAAGATGAGGACGAGGACGAGGATAAGCCTGAGGACAAAAACGACGAGGAGACAGGGGAACGCGCATCACCAACATCTTCACAGGCCACAATAACATCCGCCCCTGCATCTACACATCCTCACAAGACAGAATACGAGTTCCTCCTTTTCAACTATCTACTTCGATTTGTTCACCGCGAAGGGCAAATCGGTGACTTTGCACGCGCGGGCTTACTCTTCCTCATGGATGTTGCAATGTCCCCTGGGGAACCGATACATAGATTAGCAGGGGATGAACAGGGATCAACTCCAGCGCCTGCATCAGAGACAGCAGCTTCGGATCCGATTACAGATGCCGCGCTTGCGTTGGCGGAGTATATCGTTGATGGCGATTTTTCAGACGTCCTTGGGGCGGGTTTAGGCGCTGTGTACTCTTTGCTTCCATCGAAATTGGAGATAAAGTCACCAACTCAGGCTGATGCCTCGCATGGCAGTGGCATGGTGCTAGGCAGCACTGGATCAGAAACTGAAGAGGAGAAAGAGAACGCTGAATTATTGGTGGAGAAGAACCGTGCCATAGGCCTCGAGGACTCTTCTAACCCAGACGTCAAATCTCGCCTCGATCACTTCCTCAAGTTACTAGAATTTTTGCAGGACATTCTCCGCAGAAACGGTGTCCATGATTCCCCCGAGTCCAGCCTCGATGCGTCTGCGTTGGTAGGCACTTCTATTGTGCACTCCATACTGGATGCCGTGCGCCGCATCTTCCTTGAGAACGTCCTCTACCCATCTGTGCTCGAGTGTTCTGATCTCGATGGCAGCGCTGTTGCTGTGATGTCTTATATTGACATCATGATTCGTACCCTTGAGCCAGGTCAGCTTTCTGAACTCCTCGTCGAATTCCTCATGAGTGAGGATAATGACGATGCATCCCGCTTACGACCACACCCTCGCATGCTCAATCTCAGCAGTGCTCCGCCTCGCGCTGCTGACCGCGCAACAAAGCTTCGCCGGCGCAAAAGTAGCGCGATGGTCCTGCTCGAGATGGAGGCTCCTGAATCGCAGAAGCAGTCGGAATACTTCACCACAATGGGGCGATTCACGCTGAAAGATTTGCTCCTCTCGAATCTGCGTTCGAAGAATCAAGCGACGGTTGCAGCTGCTCTGCAATTGTTCCAGTCGATGCTGAGCCAGCGATGTCACGTTTCGACCAGCGGGTTGTTCCTTGTCTTCCATGATACAAATGCGACGAGCTACCCTGAGCCTGCTATGATTTTCCCGGATGTCCCACAGATTGCTGACGAGGATAGCGATGAAGAAGAGTTCGTTTATCCTGGTGCAGAGGATACCAAACCCTCTCCAAGCCCACAAATGCCGCCCTTGCCCACATTTGTCCAGCCAGATATAACATTCTCAACGCACGAGCGTGAGATGGGACTCTACCTCACACTGGTTTCCCGTGTCGACCCCTCACACAGCGATGATGCCTTCAGCACTGGCTATGACCACTATCTCCGCGACGCAGTGTCGTCTATCCAAAACCATAGCTGCTTCCATATACATGATGACGAAGACATGGACGCACGCTCAAAGTTAAAGCATCGGCTCAATGTCAATGACCCCATTCTCTCGCTCGTCCTCGAGTCTATGCGCACATTCTTCTCAAACTCGCCAAAGATGAATATCTCGCTCACAGGCGTGCTTGCGGAACTAGCTGTCTGCCCCAACCGTTCCATCGCTGGGTGGCTTACATGTGCTGTGTCAGAAGCAGCCGCATCATTTTCCGTTCCCTCACTCGATGTAGATGATGGCCGGGATGATAGATCCATAGACTCTGTGATCGACGAGAAGTTTGCGACAGAGACTAACATACTTCCCGCCATCAGACTCGATGAACATACCCGCCCTGTCGTACACACTATCTTCCAGGGCCTCGTCGGCCAGCTGGAACGCTACCGGCAATCAGTCGAAAACTTTGACCAATATCTTCTCGAACGGCGACAGGGCCTTCTATTCTCTGAAAATCTGACAGATGCACTCACCCTCTCACTTGAACCGGTTCAAGACGCCGTGTCGCCTAACTTACCACCGTCTGGCTCTTGGGATGTCGTTCAAGCTCCTGACACGCCTCCCCAACGCCCAAAGCCAAAGCCGAAGACCTCGGCTCTCGTATCCTTTCTGACCCCGCGAAAAAGCAAGTCCGCCCCATCCAAGGCGCCTTCTGAACCTCCAACGCCTCCTAGGTCGGGTAGCAAAAACGTCGCTGCAAGCCCATTTGCTCCTCATTATCAGCGTACACGGGATATTGTCGTTGAACCATTCGTGGCTCCTGTTCCCCAGTCGGGTCCTTGGACCTCAGCGCAGCCGTCGAAGTGGGACACGGATGAAGATGATGTCTTCAGTGCTGGTAGCCAATGGGGTGGGCATGCGGTTACTCGATCAGAGGGTGACTCGGAGGACTCAACTGAAGGGAAAGTAACGCAAGTGACGTTGTCGCAACTGCTGGACAATGTTGTTGTTTTGGAGGAGTGCATCAAGGAATTGGTGGCAATTATTCATGCCCGTCGTAGTTTAGGAATTGATCTAGTAAGATACGTTTGAGAGTCTCACCTATAATGTCATTATCGCATATAGAGGTTGAATGTAATAGTTCGTCGCCGTGTAAATTGTCGACAATTGTCGACATTGTATGGAACACAAACAAGGTTTCAATGATAATAATTTAGAATACATACATCGAGATAAAGACCATACAAAGCAAGACGAGGCAGGGTATGACAGCAAACATCCACAGAACAGGAATTATTTCGCTTTCTTCGCTCTCCCGCTCCGTCTCCCCTTGGCTGATGATGATCCTTCACCTGCTGGTTTGCGCTTATCCGAAAACATCTTCTGCTGTATCTTGGCGAATTCCTCATCGTCGATATCAGGAGGATCCTGGACATGAGGCTTCTTCTTTGGCGATTCCGCTTCAGCCTCAGACTCGTCCGCGGCCTTCTTGCGTTTCTTTCCCCCTCCTCCCTTCGTTCTGGATGGCTCTTCCATATTTGTATACTTGGCGGCCAGGTCATCCAGAAAGTTGTTGCGGCCCTTCTGTCTCTTGAGAATGAGCGCCTGGAGTGCTGAAGTGTCTCCCTCGTCCTCATCTTCATCATTTGCTGGTTTCTTTGCTTTCCCCTTGCCCTTTCTCGTTCCTGTCTTTCCGCTTCCATAGAACTCATCCCATACACCAAGCTCCTTCGCAAGTTCTTCCGCCTCGTTTGCCTCTTTATCGCTCTGCTTCTTCCTCACTAGCTTGGCTTTCTCATCTTTGGAGCTTGACGCCCATTGCGGAAGGCTCGGCAGGTCGCCAGCTTTGACAAGATTCGACAGTGCGACTACGAATCTTGGTTCATCATCAATAGTAGAGTGAGGAATATGCTTCATAATTTCGTCAAATGATCCTCCGGTTTCAAGGTAAGCAGCCTTGAGGTCATCGATTTCCTCAGAGGAACCTATGCATAGAGTTACTTGACGATCTTCCAGACATCATTCAGATGTACCTTGATATTCCTTCTTCATTTCGTCCAGTCTCCCTCGTGTAACACGGTCAAATAGGTCCTCAAAGTAAGCTTCCCAGCCGCCGTCCTCATCCGCCTCACCGAGTAATCCTTCATCAGTCTTTCCAGTTTTATCATATTTCTTCCTCCGTTTTTCGTCGCTTAGCACAGTATATGCAAAACCGATCCTCTGGAATTGCGTAGACGCGTTTGCCCGTTCCTCCTCGGTGGCATTAATCAGTTTGTCAGGATGGCACAACAAAGCAAGTTTCCTGTAGGACTTCCGGATATCTTCTGCAGAGGTATCTGATTTAAGCGACAAGACGGCGTAGAGGTCTACATCTTCTTCGTCGAAGAACTGGGATATAGGGTCGTTGTCATCCATGGTGGCAAGAAACGCGCTGGCTGTCACACAACGCGCTCAAACGAGACACGTCACGTGCTACTGTAACGGTCACTTTCCACTTACTTAGACCGTGGGATCATCACTAGCTCCCACGCCTTCAACATTGTTGAGCTGGGGTTTCGACGCTATCACTTCAACTTGCCGCCCCCACCGTCTACTTAACACAGTGAAGACAGTCATACCTTCTATCTTGTGGAGTATGAAATCATGTCTTCTGCATGAAATTCCATTGGAATCCCTCCCAGTTGCCATGTTTTCGTGCTGCACAGCTTCGTTGGTCTGTCCAGTCGTTGAACTAGTTGCTACCACTGTGCCATCCGGAGAATTGTCTAGCTACTTGACACTTCCCTGGAGGGCTTTGATGTTTTGCTTCAGAGTTTCGCCAGCATCTCCGTCTCCGTGCTGCGCGATGAGCTCTCCGTTGAACTCACCCTATCTCCCGTTGCTGCCATCAACCTGCACGCACCAACATAATACTGTCCCTCAAATCCCCGACGAATGTCCGCAGAGCCCGTCCTCGTATGTTGTATGTCGTGGAAGGCTGCGATTGTTAATACGAGTCCTTGGTGATTTTAATGGCTCTAACGGATTGGTGTTTTTATCATGGTGCCATTTGTGGAGGGTGTTGACTTGCATGGTGTTCTAGGATTGTCGGTTTCTTGTTGAGGTGCGTCGACTGGGCGCTTTTTTTTATAACATTATTACTTTATGCATGGGGACATTGGGAACGAGCTTTGTTGTGGTTTCGGCTCGCTATAGTAGCTCTCAATAGTCCTGTTGCTCATACCAACATGATAGAACATTCATGAATATGACTTCTACTTGAGCTTCCAACTATTCCCTTAGACGGATACCGGCATCGGAGACTAGCGCTGATATATCATTCCCATAAGGTCGGATGTCCCTCCTAAATTTGATCTTACTGAGGGTTTCTTTGTACATATAGGCATATGCCATCACACAGCGACCGCTGGACAGCTTCCGTGTGTAAGCATAGGCTTACTACGTCAGGTTACTACGTCATCATCAGACGACGTCATCCCTCACAAAAACAACATCACTTCTTATTGGACACCGTGATACGCTGACCCGTATATATACAACACTGTATACGTACTCACACCTTACCCTACCCCCGTATCTTCAATCATAAGCTCTTCCACTTCACTGTCTGTCCGTCAGTGTTTACCGTCGACCGTGACGGTCTTCCACTTTTTTTTGAAGTTCAGTCGAGCCCCGTCTGCCATCCGAACTGTTTCTCCAGATCACAGAAAACCGCACCGATTTTTTTAGGGTGTTGACTCACGTCAGCCCGCTACTGTGTATAAGTCAAACTGCCTCCTACTCGCTCCCGTAGTGTCCCTCCGACGACTGTCACCACACGCAGTCGTGGAAAGGCAAGTGCTACCCCACCGAATATTGATAGCACTCCAGACGTCGCAACGACATTACCCGTTCGCCATCCGTCTCCGAGCCCTTCGCATTCCTCCTCCTCTTCAGAATCTGTACCCGATCATCCACCTAGCGCTATGTCTACCACGACCAAGATCGCACGAGCAGAACAATCCTCAGCTAGTAAACCCCCCTTTCTCACCGCTGGAGAAATCACGCCCGAAGCACTACGTGCTTGGGAAATGGGCTGCCTTCAATTTTTTCTCCATAAAGATGTCAAAGACGCTGATAAGGTGAAGAAAGTAGCGTGGGGAATGCAAGATCCGATCGTGCAAGATTGGTACCTCAATAATCAGGAAGATCTCGATGTACTGCCGTTCAAAGAATATATGGCCGCCGTTCGCGATTACTGGTTACCGACAGATTGGTCTGACACCGTCCGAAGGAAGATGCTTGCCTCCGTCCAAGGACAACGAGCCTTTTCCGAATGGGCGGTCGACGTCCAAAGTCAAAATACCCTGTTACGAGACACAAAATCTCATCTTGACGACATTAATATTCTTTATCATCTCGAATCACACATGCACCCTGATCTTGCAGCCGATTACTACGCGGAAAACATTGAAGAATTGGACTTACGCAAATGGGTTGAAAAGGTACGATTGATCGACGAAAAACGTCTGCGCTACCTCGCTCGTCAAAAGGGCGCAGTCGAAGCCGCGTTACGCGCAGAACGTGCGCGTGTCGGCATGTCCAAAACCATATCTGACAGCAAATCATCCACGTCCAATCGATTCGCAGTGAAAAGCAGCTCCACGTCCAACAATAACCCCCCCTCCAACTCATCCGTCAAAACATTTGTTCGACTGCCACCTCTGACTGAAAACGAACGTCAGCTGCTCAGAGAGAATGATGGGTGTTATAAATGCCGTGAACCTTTCGCGGGACATACCTCCACCTCGTGCTCCAAAGGTTTCCCCGACGGTGCAACATACAAGACGTTAACCGCCTCAAGCGTGGCCAGCAAAAAGGCTCGTAAGGGTGGTGTAGTCGCGTCGGTAGGGGTAAACGATGAAGAACACGACATGGTGGCGGTTGTTATGCCGTCAGCGGTACTGGGTGATGGTACTGATTCTGACGAAGAGTGCGTGGCCCCACTACAGACTCCCCACCTCCGTTGGAACTGTCTTGTTGACGGGCCAGCGGTTTCCTCTCCTATCTCCGTTTCTGCGCTTATTGACCATGGCTCCTCATTAGTTCTGATTAGTGAAGACCTCGTCAACCAACTGCAACTTCGCCGTCGCAAACTCGCAAAAACATTACCAATCTCGCTCGCACTCTCGCAATCGAAACCTCTCACTTTATCGCATTTTGTCAAACTTTCTTGTACCTCCCTCGACCAATCTTACACTTCTCGTGTTGTACGTGCACTCATCGCACCAAATCTCTGTACGCCGTTATTACTCGGCGGTCCGTTTCTGCAGCACAATCGCATTGTAATCGATCATGAACTACGTACGTGTATTGTGAAAGGAACTAATTATGACCTTTTGCATGTACCGTCGGTCACGCCTCCACTGAAAACACATCGAACGCCATCGTTCGGTCCCGATCTCTTCTGGAAGAAACAAAGTGTCGTAAACGAATTGCGTACCGTGCTTCCTGAGCTCAAACGGATCGTCGACAGCGAATGTGAACAAGTTAACGGAATTGACGTCATCAGCGCAGTATCAGCAACGATCGAGAACCTCACTTACCAACAGGAACTACAACAACTCGACTCCAAGATTAAAGAAGAGTTTAATGATCGATTCCCCACCGATATACCCCATAATGACACCATGCCGGATAATGTTCTATTCCGGATTAATTTAAAAGACGCTAACAAAATTGTACAGCTTCGATCGTACGACTGCCCCAAGAAGTACAGATCAGCTTGGAAAACGTTGCTGGATTCACATTTAGAAAGCGGACGATTACGACCATCCGACAGCGAATGGTCATCGCCTTCATTCATAATTCCTAAAGCGGACCCTTCCGTTTTGCCTCGATGGGTTAATGACTTCCGAAAACTCAATCTTAACACCGTCGCCGACAATCACCCTCTCCCACGGATTGATGAAATCTTAAAAGATTGCGCAAAAGGAAAGTTCTTTGGAAAGATTGATATGACTAACGCGTTCTTTCAGACACGCGTACACCCGGACGACATGAAGTATCTAGCGGTCCATACACCGTTCGGTAAGTACGAATGGACTGTTATGCCGATGGGTGTCAGGAATGCACCCGCAGTACACCAACGACGCATGACAACGGCCCTACGTCACCTCATTGGCAAGATATGCCATGTCTACCTCGATGATATAATCATCTGGTCCCAAACACTTAAGGAACACGAAGCCAACGTCCGCCTCGTGTTGAACGCCTTACGGGCGGCTCACCTTTATTGTTCACCGAAAAAGACTTCACTTTTCAATACAGAGATCGACTTCTTGGGACACCACATTTCGGCTCGCGGCATTGAGGCTGATAACTCGAAGATCGCGCGGATACTTGACTGGCCACAGCCTCGAAAGGCTTCCGATGTGCGATCGTTTTTGGGTATGGTTCGCTATCTCGCCGATCATCTACCTGACGTTGCCAGGTACACAAGAGTATTGACCGCACTAACTACAAAGGCAGCAGAAGCACATTTTCCAACCTGGTCAACCGAACACGCACGCGCCTTCAAGGCAATCAAAGAATTGGTTATCAGCCCGCATTGCCTCACAACTATCGATCACGATAATCCGGGAGACAACAGAATATTCCTCACCTGCGACGCCTCGGACTACGCGACTGGTGCAGTATTATCGTGGGGACCCACACATGAAACAGCTCGTCCGGTAGCGTTCGACTCCGCTCAACTACGCTGCGCAGAGCTCAATTACCCTGTGCATGAGAAAGAGTTATTATCCATCATGCGGGCTCTTAAGAAATGGCGCACGGAATTGCTTGGTGCGCATGTGGATATCTACACTGACCATTGCACCTTGCAGAATTTCAATACTCAGCGTGATCTGTCAAGGAGACAGGCGCGCTGGGCGGAGTATATGTCGCAATATGACATTGATATCCACTACATAAAAGGTGAATTGAATATGGCAGCTGACGCATTGTCTAGAAGAATAGATACAGTTTCGTCCACGCAAATCTGCGCTGCCATACTAACCCTACAAGCGGACCCCGACATCAGAACACGCATCGTCGAGGGCTACGAACTCGATCCGTGGTGTAAGAAACTCACAGGACTCCTAGGATCACTGCCAGGACTTTCAAAAGACGAACATGGTCTCTTCCGCATAGCAAATCGCCTCGTCATACCAAGGGTGGACAACTTGCGCGAACACCTCTTCCATGCGGCACACGACGCAGCCGGACATTTCGGAGCGGACAAGTCGTATGCCCTTCTTAGAGCGTCCTACTACTGGCCCCATATGCGCAAGGACTTGGTAGACTCCTACATCCCGTCCTGCATGGACTGCATGCGTAACAAGTCAAGAACGACTGCGACCGCAGGACCACTTCACCCCTTACCCATCCCCGACTCTCGTGGCGATTCCGTCGCTATTGATTTCATCGGTCCCCTACCTGAAGATAGCGGATACAACATGCTTATCTCAATGACCGATCGACTGAATTCGGACATCCGTTTGGTCCCCTGCAAAGACAACATAACGGCTGAGCACTTCGCATCGTTATTCTTCGATAACTGGTTCTGTGAGAATGGGTTGCCCAAAGAAATCGTGTCGGATCGTGATAAGATATTTTTATCTAAATTCTGGCGTGCGCTTCACAAGCTAACAGGCATTAAACTTAAGATGTCCTCATCCTATCACCCAGAAACAGACGGAGCCAGCGAACGTACCAACAAGACTGTCAACCAAAGTCTACGGTTCTATGTCGACCGTAATCACAAAGGATGGGTGCGCGCCCTACCGCGTGTTCGTTTCAATATCATGAACACCGTCAATGCAAGTACCGGGTTCTCACCTTTCCAATTGCAACTGGGACGCTCTCCGCGCATGTTACCCTCACTACTACCAGAAGAACCTACCATACTCGAACCAGAACACCAGCGCGCAAACACTCTGCTCTCACAGCTCAAACATGACCTTATGGAAGCGCAGGACAATTTACTAGCTGCAAAAGCCGCACAAGCCACAATCGTGAACAAGACCCGCGCACCACACCTAAACCTTCACACAGGAGACCGCGTCTTACTTGCAACGAAACATCGGCGACGAGAGTATATTCAAAAGGGAGACAAACGAGTAGCAAAATTCATGCCACGCTACGACGGTCCCTACACCATCATCGACGCTCATCCAGAGACATCTACCTTCACACTCGACCTACCAAATTCACCAAATATCTTCCCTACCTTCCATGCAAGCCAGCTGCGCCTTTATCACCCAAACGACGCGTCGCTGTTCCCCTCTCGAGAACTACCCCGACCGGGCCCGGTCGTAACGGAAGATGGACAACTAGAAAATTTCATTGAAAAGATAATCGACGAAAGAAAAATAGGCCGCGGAAAACAATACCTCGTTCGTTGGGTTGGATTCGGCGAGGAAGATGACGAGTGGTTGCCACGACGGCAGTTGGAAGATTGCGAGGCCCTCGACTCTTGGGAGACGAAAGATTCAAAACCATAGAGAGGAAGGGTGTAAGCATAGGCTTACTACGTCAGGTTACTACGTCATCATCAGACGACGTCATCCCTCACAAAAACAACATCACTTCTTATTGGACACCGTGATACGCTGACCCGTATATATACAACACTGTATACGTACTCACACCTTACCCTACCCCCGTATCTTCAATCATAAGCTCTTCCACTTCACTGTCTGTCCGTCAGTGTTTACCGTCGACCGTGACGGTCTTCCACCGTGATTGTGTGGAGAATACCACCCACTCGGACCAACATGTGGCAGGGCTCTACTGTCGCCGGTGTGCGTTGATTCTCATGGTTATTGTTGTCTTTTGGGCCATCATCTGCATTATGGATCACAACAACAAGGTCGCCAGCCTACGGACGTCTGAACATGTCATATGTGCCATGCGGTCTCCGCGGCACAACACTCGCTTGATTGATCGCGCGCTGGATACGTCCTGCATCATTGGACTCATCGGCCTTGTTCGCGAGGATCGCCGCGACGACCATACATTGTACAATGCGCAACTGACTTGGGGGATTCGTTTGGGTTGCAAAGAATCGTAAGAAATGACAGGGCCCTCATGGGCCCTCTTGGTGCCAATGTTTGTCCCTAATCCATGGTCGGTCATAAAAGGCCCAACTCGTGGACTGTCTACCGGTTTTCACTTCAAACTCGGACCCACGGCGGCGAGAGCTCGAGCAATTACGCGACAAGCTTCTTCAGAAAATCGAGAAATCCAGCGAGGGTCGTGATGGAAGACAGGCAAATATGTCGCAAATACGTCAAAGATGTTAAAGTCTACCAAGTACTTCCATTCTTTTGTGCAGACCCTAAAGAAGCTCACCCGATACTGTGTTTCAGAATCTGACGGTGTACACTTATGCACACCTCAAACGCTGTACGAGCAATGGATGGTAGGGTAACCAGCGATATCTGATTCCTAATGTTGACACGGTCTAGGCTACTGAACGAGCTGAAACAGAAAATGACAGAGTGGAGAAACTGACATTACATTGATCTCATGATATTAATCATTTATCGGACTATCAGGGATACCTTGAAGAGCCTTCTGGATTGGAGTGTAAGCCCCAATTTCCAGCTCCCAGTCACGTTCTCATAACTTCCCGACAGGGCAGAGACCCGTGCCCTCAGCATGTTATAGTCAAATTTACACTAAAACACATTATTCCTTGTGACTATGGAGAAGTTCTTCGCGTCCTTCTGGTTCTGTGCGGAAGTGATTATGAAAATGAGTCTTATGCCTGAATTTAGTGGTTAACTCCAGATACCTAGGCTCTGCGAGATCTTTCCATCGATCATGCCACGCATGCGCGGCTTTTGCGTTATATCATCCGGCTATCGCAAAAATCTGGTCGTTTGCCATACCAGTTGCGGTTGGACGGACTAGAGCCAATCCCGATGCGTATTGTTGAGCAGGGCGGCTCCGCAACTATCTATATAGCATCATATAATGATCAAGCGATCCCACTTGCCATCCATAGATCAGCGTCGCAAAGTGAGGAGTTTATCATCCGTCGATCTAACCTCCACTCACCTGTTCGCATGTAGGACTTTGTGAGTGAGGCAGTGATTTGGAGTCACTTGAAACACGAGAAGTCATCATGCCATTCATAGGAGTCGTAGAAAAGGACTGTAGGTTGTGGCTCGTTTCAAAATTCATGTACGGTGGTAATGTGGAGTATACGGGCAGGGAGAACTGCGATCTTCGTCATCTAGTAAGTTATCTTACTCGTTATCAGTAATACTCATTGATTGGTGATTCTCCGTCCAGGCAGAAAGAGCTGCAAAAGGCCTTTCCTATTTACATGCTCTCGATCCGCCCATCGTCCATGGTGATATCAAGGGAGTGAGTACCTTTCATGTCAGAAAGGTGCTCGGGCTTATTTCATATAGTTCAATGTCTTGGCCGACAAGTGAGGGAATGCTTGCCTGACCGACTTCAGAATCTCGAGGTCTGATGATAATTGGACTCTACCAACGTCGGCCGCCGAGACATTTAATTGGATTGCTCCAGAGCTTATCTTTTTGGAAATTCGGAGACCATACGCTTGATGCTGGAAACCGACATTTGTGTAATTGCTTGTGCACTATACGAGGCAAGTGGTTCTGTCCTGTTCAAGTTGTTGTTCCCTGCTTCACCTCTTTAGATTTACACTGGAGGAATTCTGTTCTCTGGAAAGAATATAATCGATTGCCTGAGGAAACAAAGGAGACCATCGCTTCAAGTATTGGAAAAACCCATCACAAGACTCGTTGAAGAATGTTGGCAACACGATTCAGGGCTACGCATGAAAGCCCCCACTCGTCGTCGAAGCACCGAAGAAGATGAAAAGGTTTCAATTATTTTCTTTCATAGGAAGTACTTTGAACTTTGGATAGTGTTTTGCCTCGTATTGGCATCATAGTTAGATACTGTCATATAAAGGGATGGAAATCGAAAGGGTATACAATGACACGAATTACGCAAGATGTAGTCCGGAACGCTAAATAAGACAAAAGAGATCCTCTCCACTTCCAAGTGAAGAACAAATTGTTACATATGCAGAGCGCACCCTGTCCATATCCTCATGATTGTAATCCCCGAGTCACTGTGAAGTGCATACCAAGCACTAGTCATGCATCACTCAATTGATATCTGTGGCTGAAGAGGAGCACCGCCTGGGAAATATGACGACTGGCGCTCTGTCATGCCCCCTGGGGTTTTGGGGGTAGGTAAATACTGTGAGTTTCTCCCGAGGTCTAAGAAGAAAAAAGTTAATCACCCATTCTAAACGCATCGATAACCTGCATCTTGACAGGGGTGTAAGACTGACCATGCGTCTTAGACTCGTGTAGTCCCTTGTCAAAGTCACGGAAACACTTGATTCCGATTGCAAGCGAGGCCAAGAGGAGCAGGAAGGCGACTACGGCTAAATATAGCCGCCAGATTGTGGCTTAGCGTCATGATGAAACAGATCAAGTACGTGACTTACTGAATACGGTCAATGTGGCGCGAGTTGATACGTACTCTTGCGCGGAGGAAGGGGCATAGAAGCGATCGAGTTTGTACACTAAGGGTTGCGTCAACTTGTGAGACGATTAACACATGTTGTACACATACAGACTAAATCATGCGATCAGTTGAAGGTCAACGCATTAAGGGGAAACGCCTCACAATAGGACATCGAAGGCAGCATCAACGCAAGGGAAAAAATCATCAACCTAGCAGACAGTTCAAACAAACACGCGAAGTGGACGCCGGAATAATCGTACAACTTGACTTCGTGCTTGACAGCACGTGCGCAACCGGCCAAAAGCAACAAAACAATAGGAATTGCAGCAACAGTGACTCCGAATTCAGCAGAATTCTTGTTGAGGATAACGATGAGAAGCTGCGAATTTTCAGTTCCTGGCCAACCACAAAGAGTCATAGTTTTCACCTGCATAGTCACCCCCACAAAACAGAAGAAGTCGAATTTGAGTAAGCAGATGAAGATTTGGTAGAATTGATACATCGCTGTTTCGAGTTAGTGCCACATCATGAAGAAAAATAAACACTTTACTCACACTTGAGTTTTGGGTTTGCACCCACGACATGGAAGATCACCCATCTACAAGATCTCAGTGGTGAGCAGGACGTGGATTAAGCTGTGGGATCGTACCCGAACTCAGCATACAGCTGCTTGATCCAGAACATCAGAAAGAACCATGACGCAGCAACTATGCAGGGAGCGACAATCAGGATATTTTGAACCTTATTCCACACATGATTGGGATCTGAGACGCATTTAGGCTGGCAATTAAATATAGCAACGTGGGTTTCGTGGACTTGAAGAGCCGAAAAGACGATGAGAGCTCCATGGAAGACTACGAAGTATTCAGAAAGGAGGAGTCATATTCAGCCAAATCAACACTCACGAACAATCCCCATGAGCTGGATAATGTTCCGTAACCGTAGAGCATCGAATGCCATTATCAATTCGAATATCCTGCACAATCGTCAACAGCCCGAAAATGGCCGTGAGGGTAACCACATACTCTGCTAGAATAAAAAGAGCCAGGTAGCATGGCAATGTCTTCATGATGTGAGCGGTTCAGCTTGTTAATGATGTATGTAGTAAACTACCTTGTACCCAAGTTCTGTAAAGGTCGACCCTGCGTCGGCTTGAACCTTGACGTCCGCTGGTTAGTAGACATGTCGTTTCGACTGCCGGTACTACACAAACTCACTATTCCGAATGTTAATGCGACCATAGTTATCACCACGATAGCCTCTACGGGCACCTAGGTCAAACCTCAATCGAGAAGCTTCAATGAAACGACTTACGGACTGCGACTGTGCCAAAGGTACTTGAATGATAATATCACGGAGTAGTTGGATGATAACATACTTGTGATGATGAAAGCTTTTTGGGCTCTCGTCCCAAATAATGGTTCCACAGCCATTGTAAAGCAGGCCCGTCAAGCCTTGGGCTGGAAAATTAAGAGAAGTTGGTGAGCGCTGAACGGTTGTTCGACTGTGAGGTGCACAATTAGCCAAGTTCCCAATGTGGCTGTGTCTTCCTTCCTGTGTCAACCAAATTTACCTTTGTCTGTATCCAGCAAGTACTAGTGTTTCATGCTGGACTTCGTATGCACAGGTATGCACCGAGCGTGGTTAACATAATCGGTTGGTCGTCACCGTATCCGAGTCCGTCATGCTAGAGCAGTGTCACACTTCTCCTATGACCTCCATGATCGAAGTTCGACGCCGCGTTGCAAATTGCAATCGAACTTCTGGCAAACCGCATCGACAGAGTCAAAAACTGACACATTCTCGCCAGCATTTCATCGAGACGTCTTCTTCACCCCCATGCGCCCGTCCTGACACCATGAATGATGCGAAGTGTCTGGGTGCCAGATGAATGGTCTCCCACCTTAGATGAATGCATCCTCGGGATGAAAGCAATGTTAGCGGCTCTCTGCAGCAACTCTGGTACCTCAAAGTTTATTTTATGGGTAAACAAGTCAAAAATCATCCCCTCTTAGAGTACGCTGTTTTACGGCTGCAGCTACCAATAGCTCTTCCCTCCAAAGCGTCCGCATATTCTCGCGCATCCAGGGAATCCACCTCTCACTGCCCAGATCATACTCCTCGGCACCGTCGCTCTTGAGACTGTGCAGACTGGCCTGGGCTCTGGTGATAAGAGTATCGCAAATCGCAGTCAACGACTGCTTCCAAGCGATCTCGTTTCCATCAGATATAATCTCCCGTTTTCCAGCTATGACATCGCGCCACGGTTGAATGGCGTTATCGTGGATTGTTTTATTTGAGACAGCGAGACGATGAAGCCTTAATGCCGTTATCAAGCGCCATGACGGCTGTGCTGATTCTGTCGAGCAATATAGGGTCCAGTCTCTGCGGTAAACTCAATGAGGCGACTTAATTGACCAGGAGAGTTCAAGACGCACATACCCCCAATAACCTTCGTCTTCGAGGACGCTTTTGACGAAGACACCAGATTTATGGCCGAGTATCAAGGATTCCACGACATCTTGTACGTCGACTTCGCCATCTGTAGTTTCTGCTTCGCCTAGTAATGACTTATTGACAAAACCATATTCAATGAACAGCGTGCGGTTAGGATGTGCCCCGTAAGTCAGGAAGATCTCTTCGCCCTCTTGGACAGATGCATCCACTGGCGAGAGGAATCTAAATCCTTTCCCAATCAACTTTACCGGTGCAGTGTCCCAAATATCTGCCTCTGATGGAACTGGAGTCATATGCGATCCACTTGGGGTATGGTTGGCAAAGTCGAGGATGGGACATAGTGTTAGATTATCGGGGTCTTCCTTCGATGCTTTGAGGCGGTAGTATATGCAGCGAGTGTTGACTGGAGGCGAGGTAGATGAGGAAGTTTCATTCATACAGGAAATACGTGCCGTTCAACCAAGCCCACACGTAATTGCTGGCAGACCCATCTATATCATCCAAATAGGCATCATACTTGGAAGAGATGTACGAATTCGCAATCTGCTATTGCTTTAGATAATAAAACCGAGTGCAGTATTGAGTATTTCCCACCAAGTATGCTCGCACTGCAGCCCAGTCTTGACAAAATCGGTCATGCAGCTTAATCAAGGATGCATGCACACTCGGCGGGAGGTGCCCGAGCAGTGGGACCCCTTCGGACTCCATGCCACTGTTTGATCGCATAATCCAGGTCAAAGGATGGCTGTTAAACTCCCTAGGTAGGGTCGAAATGTATGGTCCATAGCGGGGGTCTGGCGAATCCTCACTTCCATGTGGACGGTTGATATGCAGATGCAGAGATATCATTTGTATAGCGGTCAGTGGCGTAGGTCCAGACGTTGGATAGAGGGACTTTAACGTCCTACTATTCATCAATGCCTGAGGTGGCACTGCAAAGAGCAAGGAAGATGGCTATTCTGTTTATCAGGTTAAGGTTCCATCCATTCTACGCACAAGAGAGCTCACAGGACACGTCGTTCGAGCAACAAGACCATTCCCAGCAGCTGCGTGGGATGTTAGATCAAGCGGTGGCGGCTCGAACGAGGTAAACCGATTGGTGACTCAACTGGGTGTTTCTTTGCACTCAACGAGCAAGTCATCTGCTCCTGTTTTCATTCCATGGGTCCTCAACCATGCCAGCAGCTTCAACCATCGATAGTTCACCGACGATTGTACGTTTGAGATGCTCGCCATCGTGGTATCGTTGGTGATATTCCCAGCATGTGCCATCAATGTGCCATGCAAGGTCATGGGACTGAAGAAAATGTTCATATATGCGGCTCTCCGCGTCTATCTTCGGACCGTCCATGATGGAAATTCCGGCCCCGCGACAGCATGTCCTTGAGATTTATTGGTTCCTCGTGCATCTCTTGCATTCGACGATCGGATATCCATCGTAGAGCGTTCGTTCACCCAGCAAGTCTATTAAATTCTGCCTTTTTGCAATCACTTTATCGAAACATGTCCGTCTTCAACGCATCTCGCCTTCTTGGCAAGACAGTCCTTATCACTGGAGCAAGTTCTGGTATCGGAGCGGTGTGTACAAACCTAGCTCTGAGGAGAGAGACGTAAGTTACTGATCGGCTCACAGGCCACCGCCATCTTGTTTGCCAAGGTAGTTCACCATGCTCTGCCATATTTCTAATTATTCATATCTCGTAGGGAGGCTCCAACGTTATACTCGCCGCTCGACGAGTGGATGCACTGCAGAAAGTTGCAGATGAATGTACTGCTGCCCACAAAGCAGCTGGCTTGCAACATGGCGGCAAATTTGTCACCGTACAACTCGACGTTTCTGACAGAAATCAAATCAATGGCTTCCTAGAAAGTATACCCACTGATCTTCGCGATGTCGACATTCTCGGTGAGTAGATTCATTCGGCTTTGTGTCCCCATTGTTTACATATGTATGCTGTTGCAGTTAATAATGCTGGATACGTCGTGGGTGTGGACAGAGTTGGTGACCTGTCCCTGGATAATGTGGAGGGGATGTTCGCAACCAACGTATTCGGCTTGATCGCCCTGACCCAGTTGTTCATCAAGGGTACGCATTTCATCCCTTGGTCATAGCTATCACTCAGCCTAGTAGAATTCAAGAGGAGGAAGACTGGACATGTTATTAACCTTGGCTCGATCGCCGGTAGAGAAGCTTACCCCGGGGGCAGCATCTATTGTGCAACCAAACATGCCGTTAGCGCATTTACTACCTCTCTAATGAAGGAGCTTGTCGAGACTCCCATCCGTGTCACCGAAATTCAACCAGGTAAATGAACCACCATCGCAGCCGGGGCTAAACTCAAATTGTTGATAGGTATGGTGGAGACCGAGTTCTCGGTCATCCGTTTCAAAGGCGACCAGTCCGCGGCGGACAAAGTTTACGAGGGGCTTCAGCCTCGTGAGTGGTCTACTACGCCTGTAACCCGCATATACTCACATAATACAAAGTGGTGGCCGAGGACATTGCGGAAGAAATCGTCTGGGCTGCGTCGCGCCCCCCACATGTCAATCTCGCTGAAGTCTTCGTGCTTCCAGTGAACCAAGCCAGTGCCACCCTCACCTATAGGGCGCCGAAGCTATAATTTCTCGATTCTGTTTTGATACTCGAAGTCATTGTATCGTAGACATTCCCTACACGTCGATGGAAGGAAACGACAGAATGAGTTAGAGACAATAAGGATACATCAACGACAGCATCGACAAATATGCATTAGAGTGTCAATAGAATATGCAGCTTGGCTAGCTTTTCATTTTCTTGCTCTTCGATCTGGTAATTTTCGGGGGTATAACCTCTTTCACCACCACCTCAATGTCGTTGTCATACACAAACTTCTTCACCACGACGTTCTCTGGGTGAAGGTCAGTGAGTGGATGCTGCTCGACATCCATCACGTTGCCCAGAGTGTCTAAGCGAAGATTCTGAAGAAAGATCAGCAAGAATGTAGTACAACTTTCTGCAAGCCACGTACCTTGGATGTCGGGGCCAAGCAGCTTTTCTCGATGACAAAGTCCTTGGTCCACGAGTTAGGTCGAGGATGGACCTCATCCAGATAAATTTCCGTGGATAGCCCATGATGCCACTTCACCCGTTTGCGCTCTCTTTCCTCCTGAGGGCCTTCCCCAAAGCGCAAACGTTTGGACGACCGGTCAGCCCTATCTGGCGTCTCGTAATCCTCCACTTCTCCCGGTCCCCTACGATGTTTCGTCCAGACCACCCCATCATTTTCATCGTGCTCCCCATCGAATCCGAAGATGGAATCATCCAGCTCGCTAGCACATTCACAATCACTCAATCCAGGCCCGTCTTCACTCCGTCTCGCCCTCCGCTCCGCTCGTTCATGTCGTGATTGATCCCTCATCTCTCTCTGCTTTTGCAATATCGTCCGAACCTTGACTGCAGGGCTCTCTGGCCTACTACCATCCTTGCGAATTACCTCCCTTTCCAGCTTAGCGAAAATTTCCTGGTTCTTTGTGGTGTTGGAAGTAGTGAGGGCTTGGAGGGCAACTGCGCTCATCCCCATGAAGCCATCGCCCTCAGAACGCCGTGATCGTCGAAGTTGGAGAGGTTGTATTGATGTGGATGGACCGAAAACGTCGTTGGCATGCTGCGCTACAGACTTGCGTCGAGACGTTCGGCGACCCCGACCTCGGTTCTCTGGTGGCCGATGTGAAGAAGATGAATCCGCTGTTTCGTGGGGCTCAGCAACATCATGCGATTGCTTCGCAGGTTCTGGTTCTGGTAGATTGGGTGAAGAGGTTGAATTAGGAGGTGAAGATGACCGGGCAATCGGTGCCTCAGACAGGAGCAGAATCTGCGGGCTGCTGCTGCGGTCATCGGCGGGTGAAGAATCGGATGCAGTTTGTTTGGACGGCGCTGCATAACGTGCTGATATGACTCCGGGCTCAACTTTGCGGAACTTTATAGGGCCAGGCGGCTTCCGGGGACTCGGTTCTGGTAGAGGAGCCGTTGTTGAAAGGACAGGTGCCGCTTTAGGAGCATACTTCCCCCCCAGCATTCCGGGGACAACCTGGCGTACCATGACGGGGTGAGTAGGGGGAGATATGGCAGTCTCTTCTGTGCCACGTTTTCGCTTTAGTGTGGAGAGGACTGATGGCTCTGCAACAGATTTCCCATCCAAATTGCGGTTTGGTGGCGGGGCGATGGCAGAAGAGTCTTCGGAGCTGCTACTGCCACTGCCAGTAGGAGTTGATTTGAAAGGTGGGGCACGCTGATGAGCCCAATTTACGTCAGTGCAGTCCAACAACAATCCTGGATGGAGGGCCTACCGGTCCTGTACCAAATGCAGGTAGCTTTGTAGCTGTAGATGAAACAAGTTTCTTTGGCTGTGGTCTAGCATAAGGCTTGGCGCCAATTCTTGGTATGCGACTTCCAATAGAGGGCTGTTTCAAGCTCGACTTCGCAGGACTGGACGACGACGCGGCCTGATTAACAATCGAGTATTCTCCGGTAGCCTCAGATCCTTCAGCCTCTTCAGGGATAGAGTGCGGGAGATCCGTCCCTGCTTTCTGCCCAACCACAAGAGGAAACGGTAGTTTGATGCTAGATCTCGGCTTGGAAGAAAATTTAGGGAACATGTGTTCTTTGCCTTTGCTATCACCGGCGCGTGGTGATGGGTCAACAGAACGACTTCGGAGAGGTTGAGAGACTGTGGGTTTCGGTTCCGCTGAGGCACTTCGGGCCCTCGGAGCGGCCGGTCGCGTTGGGGAGCGCACAGGACTGTTGAAATCTGTGATTAGAATACGCTTGGCGGGACTACGGGATGGATCATCCAACGCAGGGCGCGAAAAGACAGGTCCACGCATGCTCATTAACCGAGTCGACCCATCACGCTTTGCAGACAGTAGCATCACATTTTGTGAGGATGCAGAGGCCTGCGTGAAGGCATCTTGAATGGGCACCCTCCTCGCTGGTGTGCGAGACACATCATCAACGGTCAAGGAAAACTTGAGAGGAGAGGAAGAACCAGGATGTTCCCCATTAGGACGAACGGGCGTTGGAGCGACAACCAGGGGCCGCTGTACAGAAGTCAGGGGGAAATTTGGGTGCTGAGAGTTTGACTTTGGTCTCTGTGGTGTCAACAGTGGAGGGTCCAAAGATACGAAAGAAAGTTCATGTTGTGGTAACGAATGCTGTCCCTCTGAGAGTGGCGTAGCCTCGGATGGCAACAAACGCGTTAAGACATCCGCGGACTGAGGAGAAAGGGACCCCAATTCTCTTTGCAAATTGGGGGTTTCGTGTTTGCCGTTTAATCCCCGTCTTCGTGATCGTCGTTTCTCTTTCTCTTCTACCAATCTTTGGATATTAGGGTAAGGATCTGTGTTACCGTGAACAACAGTTTGCTCATCCCGCATCAAGGATAATTCCCCCTCGGGCGCGAGTATTGTCGCCTTCGATTTCCCTTTGAGTTTCGGCGTTTCCGAGGGTTGCTGTGCGTGGGTGGTTTGGTTGGGGCGTGGAGTCCCACTGAGGCGTGCTGATCTCCGCACAGGTGATCTTCCATGTTCTTTAGTGATATCTGGTGCGCCTGAGTTGGCGCCTGACGGCGAAGAAAAATTGGGGTGTGGTGGTCTAGATTCCATGTCAGCCTGACGAAGCTTATTTAGGCTGTCCGAGGAACTAGACTGTTCTACGCCATCTACACGAGGAGGGGTAGATATGACAGAAGGATGCTCCGGGGATTGCGAGAGGAGATCATCTACACTGGACGGCAAAGTTTGAATCGGAGAACGAGGACACCCTTCTCCAGAAGATTCCGCCGTCTTGACTAGAGCGGAGCAAGATTCAAATGAGATGAGATCGGGCTGAGAGATGTTACCAGCAGAATCCTGTAGAGACGAATGCTGATCATAGGAAGCCTGGAGCTGAGGTGGTTGAGGTGACAAAGCACGTTCTGTCGCGGAGAACTCGCTCAGTCTCTCACGCAAATTTATGGGACGAAATGGGCTAGGAGGTGCAGATATATCTGGGAACGGTATCCGTCCGTCCTTTATCGCGAGACCGAAGTAAATGGTGGGATGAGCCCGCGGAGGAGGGGAAGGATTATCGCAAGCCCGCATAATTCGGCTTGCGAGAACAGAGGATGGTTCTGGAAGTCCATGTTTGGGATGTAGGTGCGAAGAGCTGACGAGGAGAGCTCACCGTTTTGGCCCAATGAATCGTTCTCAGGCGTGTCTTCACGAGATAGATGAGCGGCCACATCAGAGATCTCATCTGCATCTTCGTCGCTTCGTTCATCACCTTTATCCGTCGCGTGCGTGATTTCCCGTGGCGACGGAGGGGCGTGGAGAGCAGGCAGTCCCGATGGACGAAGGGGAGAGTCGACGGTGCCAATATTGAGTACACGTCTTCGCGTGACCTCACTAGCAATGAGTCTCTTCTCCGGTGATTGCACTGGACCGAAGTAGACTCTCGCAGTCGAGCAATTGACAACATCACTGTCTGTGGAAGCAGGGGAGTTGGTGTTGTCGGTATTCATCAAATTGTCCACGGTTGTTGCAATATCTATGGACGTGAAAGGAAGAGCCGTTAGACATTCAGTACGGCGGAAAAAGCAGAAATCGTTCGAAGCCTTGAATATATCTGAGCGATAATCGCCCAAAGCTGCCAGGCTGTTGGCTGTCCACAGCGTGCACACTGCACAACCAACACAAACGTCTAAGTACGCGTCACACGTGACTTTCGCAACTTCGCATCTCCCATCACAATCACTTTCAAAGGTTGCACTCAAAGGCGTTTTTCATCTAAAAAACATGTGGTTCATGATACGGTGCCTTCAATTTCTAAGGTTACAACTGCCAAGTCGAGGGGTACATTGGGCCACGCCACTAAAACGTTGCTACAGGCGAGATCACGAAACGATGCTGCATGCTGGACTTACAATCCACAGATCTATGCGAGAGAATGCAAATGGGTGTCTTGTATTACACGTATGATGGGAATGCTTTGTTTGGATTAAGGGTTTTCGTCAAGGTGGTGCCTCCACCTCCATCGCGGTGGTCCGTTCAGCAGAAGAATCTCGGCGGGCGGATGTGATTGATGTCATGCGATAATCTGCCTCATGTGAGCCATCCTGAATTCGCTTCAGCTACGGCCGTATTAATATTCCCTGTCCAGACCGATGACTCCACCTACCAGTTGTTTTTCCTTGGCAAGCAGTTCTAGGGTTCGCGTTTGCATAGCCAAGGACGACTTCATCGTCTCCAGCAAACCTCTATAGTCAACAGTTTCCTCCTTTACAGGAACCGCTGTCGGCGCGGATGATTCCACCCGACGACGTTTCAAATCTGGCGATCGCGACAATGCCTTGTGCCCATGTTCAGCGGCTGCTGCTCCATTATCTCCATCGTCACCAACTGAAGTATCCTTCAACTCCAATGGCTCGCCTATCTCCACCCAGGATTGGTCCTGTACCTTCCGTTTGAGCAAGAGTGGGCTGTAAGATCGAACATATGACTGCAGAGCCGCATCCGTTTCCTCACGCAACAATGCGATGGCGCGCTCCAAGTTGATATCTATCGTTTTGACGATGGTCGTCACAACATTTGAGAGCATGCTCTCCCACAGGGAATCCAGTTCTCTAACGCGCGCTGCCACGCGCTCTTTGGATTTCGCGTGACTCGTTATGACAGCTGCCAAGGCAGGGGTCACCGCCATCGCAGTCGACGGCGCAGCTTTAGAAAGCTCGGTCGACAACTCCGTAAACGCCTTCAATTTGCCTTCTTCCTTGTCAAGCTGACATGAATCTTGAACCAGCTGGCTGCACAACCTGTTGCTTCTTAATCTTCCCATATGCATGAATTACAGAGGATATCTTACTTTGCAAGACGACTAGAGAACTCGCCAACGGCTTCTATGGACCTCTTTTTGTCATCTCTCGATTGAAAAGACAGATTTCCTGGTGTCACCTGCGACGCATCTGGACGGTCTTTTCCGTGGCGACTGCCGCTCTCGGGATTGTCACCCGAGTCCATAACTGAGGACCGGATTACATGCTGATATGCGTCAGATTAGATCTTGTCGTCCGTAGAGTCGAGGTGGAATACTGACCCCCTCAGTTTTCTTAGAGCGCTTTGAAGGATATGATCCCCTCTCTTCGTCAGCCCGCTCCCGGGAAGACCGGCGGACATCCCTGGAGCGATCGCGCTCACGCACGTAGCGTTCCCAAGATTCGAAGTCCCTGTCGCGGCGATCACGTTGAATAGGTTTTACTTCATGGTCGCGGCCGCGCTCTCTATCGAGCTCGCCATGATTTCGCCTGAACAAGTCGGACTGGGGCACGAGCGGCGATGAACGCGGGCCTCGTGGTAATGGACTTGTCGACGACGCTTTTGGCTTGTGTTTCGGTTTGGCCTTGGATTTTTCACATTTGGTATCATTATAGGAAGACTTTTCGGGGTTGACGCGGCCTTTGTCCCATTGAAGATCAGATGGATGAATAAACCTGCAGATCGCCAATTTAGGACGCGTCGATGGTGAGATAGGAGAGCATGACACGTACCGACAACGGCTCCCTTGGTTGCAGAATGGTTTTACGCCCTTACCATGCTCGTCAAAATACTATGAACACGGCGGGCAACCCAGCGGACGCGTCTAACGCGTCAGCGGAAGATCGATCAAGATAGAACTTGGGAGAGGTACGTACGCGACAGCGCATTGTCTTGTAGAGCGACATAATATTTGTTCGATACTACCTATCAGCAAGAGAAAGGTGTGTCGTGACGGTTGAGAGTAGGTGCAGAATAATAGGAAGAAGGGGAAGAAGCAAACTTTATAGTGTGATACTGGTGGTCCAGGGTGTGACGGGGCGCGTGACTCCTCCGAAGCTCAGCTTCTTCGATGCTTCCGTTGCACCTCACCGTAGATGGGCATCCGATCTCCAATGTTATCCACGACAGGAGGATCTCGAGCTCCGTATTATCGTTGAATATTCCCTGTCTGATGCATGAACGAGCTAGATCAACCATCATATCCGTGAGCTTGCTACTAGTACGTGGCTAACGCGCCTAAAGATCTAGTTTTTTTGCTGGTTCAGCTTGCATTCATCCTGTCGGGAAATCATCATCGATATCGCAATCATATCAAACTTATGTCCAATACAATCTAGCGCGCGTGTTGATTTCTCTGCACGAGGACAGAACGCGTCTCATGTTGTAAAGGCGCCGGCTTCTCACAATCGACTGGTTCCGGTTTCATCGCCTCGAGTTACGGAACCTACTCGTCAGCGCAAATTTTTGGCTTGTCTAGTCTTGCTCTTGTCTGTCTTCCTGGAAGTTGCTGCAAGCAACGCTCGCTCTGCTCAACTACTGCATCATCATATAATCTCGTATTCTCTTGCAATCTATTATGAGTTCATATTTCAACTGGTGGAGTGCACGCTATCCCACGGAGGTACGATATCACGAAGAATCTGCTCTGGTAACCACAACAGAACAACATTCGACCACAACCAGCGTTTTTCTACGTGATTTCGTGGAGCGACGATGCCCCTCACTCTATTCGGAGTTCCGTCCCGCATGGTGGTTGCCCAAGTACGCCAAAATATTATTGAGTTTACAGGTTGTTCATGCGAAGTCAGCGGCCATATGCAGACTCTTTATTGCGTCCTCGGAGATTTTTCAGAGAGAGATAAGGTGGTGTATAAACGGTGATGAATATTCATATGAACGTTTGACCATGGACGCTGACGCGATAACTTAGGACCTTTCTCCGCCTGCTCGATGGCGGAACCGTGTAAGATCATTTCCGGCGTCTGGTTTCGATCATGTACTTCATATCAACTAGGGGTTTGGACTTCACACCAGTGGATGACACCCATTTACCGCCCGACACTCCAATCATCGTCGTCCTGCATGGGCTTACAGGGGGTATGAAGACTTCTACGAGATAAACTGCCATAATCTAATCATGTGAACCTTCTCAAGGTTCATATGAATCGTACGTGAGAGCCATTCTCTCTCCCGCGTGCATGCCGGTCCACCAGGGCGGACTTGGGTATCGTGCAGTCGTGGTTAATTTCCGCGGATGTTAGTCCCATTCTGAATGGCCCCACAAACATTGTCATAGATGCTGACTGTCCCACAGGCGCAGGCGTTCCGGTTACGAGCCCACAGCTCTATTCCGCTGGCCATACAGATGATCTTCGCCAAGCTTTATTCTACATATCTCACCGATACCCGAAAGCACCTTTATTGGGACTATCCTTCTCCTTAGGAGCGAATGTTATGACACGATATGTCGCCGAAGAAGGAGAACATAGCCGTTTGAAATCGGCGTGTGTTCTCGGATGTGTACGTGCTTCGCGAGTTTAGGCTTCAACGGTGACAATTTCATTTATCAAGGAAGCCTTGGAATTTAGCGGCGAATTCCTCCAAGTAAGTCCAATATCCTTCTTACGGATCCGTTTCTTGATGCCGGCCAGGCTCTTGGCCACGTATATAGGACGTCATGTTTACTCCCAAGGCATGGGCCGAAATTTGGTTAATCTTCTGAAGCGGCACGTTGGCACATTTGACTCCGATCATGATGTCGCTAAAGCTGCCGCTGTGACTATCGGCCTCACTAAACCCACGATCAACATGTTTGACGAGCACTTCACAAGAATCGGTGGTGGTTCTTCGCCACCCTGGCCCTTCGCGTCAGCAAACGATTATTATGAATATTCATCCAGCCACAAGGTGCTTAACAAGATCAAAATCCCACTCCTAGCCATCAACGCTGCAGATGATCCTGTGGTTCAGGATGTGCCAATGGATGCGGAAGGTAATGGTTGGGTAATTATGGCCCTGACACCCTGCGGTGGGCATCTTGGATGGTTTGAACCAGACGAGAGGTGGGGACAAGTCAGGCGATGGATCAAGCGCCCGGTGTTTGAATGGCTTCGTGCGACAGGAGAAGACCTTGTTCGTTCGCCTCCACATTGGCGACCATTGCATGAGGAGGGCGGCTTTCTCAAAGAGGTTGGCATTGACAGGCTAGGGTGCAAAGAGCTAGACGGAAGCGATATCATTGTGGGTACAGAGGGAGAGGCCGGGTTGCTGGCCGGGTTGTAATCTGAGAAAGCAGATATACTGTCAGATTTCATATTTTATTCTAATCACTATCGCTAAAATGCACTCCATCGTCATCGTCATCTTCATGTGCGCGCAGCTGGCTCCTGTCATACTGGCTAATGTCAACAGACACAGTGCCTTCTTCCACGAAGCTGTCATCGTCGTGCTCCAAGTTCTTGTTGCGCTCAAATAATTGGCGACCTGACCAAGAATTAGATTAGAAAGGCGTCGTCAAAACACACTAGACCTCGGAATTACCGGTGGGTCGAGTTGTTGCACGTTTCCATTCTTCCCTGTCTCTCGGCGAGAGTGCGCGTAGCTTTTCCTCTTCGTCTTTCGCCTTCCTTTGTGCCATCTCGCGGTCAAATTTTATCTTCCATCCCTTAAACGACTCCACTGTAACTGGGGTTCCGCGAGTCCTTGCTTCTTCCGCCTGGTAATGTGAACTCCTTGTTCTCCAAATAGCACACCCGACTTTACCTCAATTGCCAGGCGTTCCTTCTCTGTTTCCTCAGCCATGAGTTGATCTGCCCTTTTACGAACGAGTGACGCCATCTGCTCTCTAAGATGGGAGACAAGGGTGAACGTCATGGCCATGCCGACATTCTCTTCGCCCTATTGATCGCCATGAGACGCGTCATAGCATCCTAAAGACGTCACCCACAACTTCCGTAAGACTCTCCAGCAAAGTCTCATGTTCAGTGTCCTCGAGTTCGCCCTCGATCGCTACCAACGTCAGGTGAGGCAGACAGTCAGGGTATGCATCGGGGTAATGGACGGATAGCTGTAGTTTGACTATTCACGGTGTTTCAGGACTATGTAATGGTGAGGTTTGACGACAAATCTCACAGGGGTGGTCGCCATCTATCGCTTCATCAGGCTCGACATCGATCTGGATCTCCCTGTCCGAAACAACTTGGTAAGGGTCTTAGTGAACTGATTTATGGTCAAGATCGGTAAGGACGAACTGGACAGCTCTGTAGGGTATATGGATTCAAGTACCTAAACATGCATTGAGCACAACATGAAGCTCTGCAACAAGAGGAATAGACCTCAAACTCCTCCGTAAGAATCTCTGCAGACATCGTTGTGTTCAGGAAATTATCCGATTACCGATCATAAGGTTTTGGCCAAATATGGACAACATGGTGAAAGAGAGTCCGAAAAGTGTCAAGCTTTCAAACGTTTTGTTGGACCCGACCTTCTGCAGCGGCTATGTCCTGGCTACGAGGAATAACATCTGCGGCACTGAGCAGCACTGCAAGAGGAGTATTTTCTCAAAGACCTAAGTTGGCGTTTCGAATGCTCTCCGACGTCCGTCACCCACCTGCTCTGCTTGACAAAACCAAGATTCAGGACCGCATGTGGTCAAAGGCTATCCAGGACACTATAGAACGCACGGCAGGAACAGCTCAAAAAGCCCACCCACCGACTGTAGATGAATTATGGGCTGCACGGAGTCAGAGTGCGACTTTCAACCCTCCAGCTGATCCGTACACGGGTTTGTTCCCTAGCACTCTAGATCGTGCTTACGTCTGATTATGACTTGTCCAGGAAGAAGAGTTCTTGTGAACGGAGGAGACTTGGGTGAAGCCTTTAGGAGGTTGCAAACGCGTCTCAGACGGAATCGTGTGATTCAGGAGGTGTCGCGGCAAAGACGACATGAAAAGAAGGGCGTAAAGCGGAGACGCTTGAGCAGTGAAAGGTGGAGAAGAATGTTTGCCAACGAGGTATTCATTTTTTTTGGCCCTGCTCTTTCAGGGCTGCGCTCATGCTTGCGTAGGTGCGGAAGAAAGTGCAACTCGTTAGCACTATACGTCGTCGTGGAGCCTACTAAGACCTCAATACCTCCTCTTATCCCTGCAACCAGTGTCCCCGGTATCTTCGCGTATTTCTCTGGTGAATTTGTTCCCCGCGGGACGCTGGTGTGCAAAATTACATATCTGGCCAGACTGTTTTTGGTATTTTAATGATTCTTCTTTCATGAAACAAGGCCGAAGCCGACGGTCGGTGCGTGGCGATTTGTGAAGTACCAAATTCTCGCCTTTTTCTCGCCCTTAGTTTTCTTGGTCTAGAATCTCGACCTCGCTTTGTCCACTCCTCCATCAAGCATATAACTAATATGAGAACAGGTATAATCAATCTGATGGTCCAACTGCCGAGCCTCCTAGTACCACCAGTCCCTCTATCTAGGGGGGAATACTCGCCGGGGATGCATTCTTGTCCGAGTAATCCCGTCGCTGGACACGAGGCCGCCCCTTTCGACCTCATGGCTGCCACGACGAGCGATTAAGTCGTGCCGTGTTTGCTGATATCCTGGATCGTGACACGACTGCACACCTTTCCGTACTTCATAGCGGATCGGTTCGGTGCCGTTCAATTCAAATCTGCCGGCTGCTGGGGCTAGGTATGTGGCGTGACCGCATCATTATTGTGAATTGGGACTTCCGTGGAGTAAATGCAGTGGAATGCGTGTAGGGGGTGATCGGAAAGCGCGGCGACCCCACGGCCAGTGGTGGCTCGCTCACTTTGAAAGGTAAAAAGCCTGCTAGATTTCACACCCTTCTAGCGGCCTCTCGATGCTCTCTTAGATTTCACGACGCATGTTGCCGCAGGAAGGAACGCGATGCCCACGCGACGTAGGATGATGTACGAAATCTCCTCTACATAAGAAGCCCGCACCTGATGACCAGACGTCAAGTTAATAGTACAATCCTCTACCGCGACTCTAATAAGCTCTTACCCCATTCCCAACAACATTCCGCGCCGGAGATGTGTCATAATGTTCGTCGGTGCTTTGATGTTGACCCGGTCCCCGGATTAACCTACTTCTTTCCATAGATCATTGATGGTCGATACCACCCCGAATGTAGTCACTTCATTGCCATGTCGACAAAGTTCCAGGACTGCCTGCGACCAAATTGTCTCTTCAGTACAAGACATGCTCATCCCATAGGTGTGCCTCTCGACTATTTTCCCTTTGCAATGCATTGACTTCTTCAAAGCATGCAAGTCGCAAGCCTGCATACGGCTGATGGCCCTGCCTATGAAGAACCCTATTCGCATAAGTCCTTCAAAATGTGGTGACTGTCTCTTAAAGACAAGAGATGAAGTGACGCCAATGGTCCGAGTAGCTGGGATGCGATAGTGGGTCACAGTTTAGTCCCCGACATAGATATACCATACGACCAGTGCTTTAATGCTGGTGGCGCTGGCAACGCAGCCCGTATTTAACTCATTAATTACTGGGAAGGTTGATAATTTGCGATGATAATGTATTCTGCTGACCTGTTCGATAACTATGCTTTGGTGTGCACTGTGGACTGACTCTAGCTCCCCATAATGATAACACCAGATCCCACGATAATGCCACGTGTAAGATAATCATGCCAAACTCGTCACAAGTGACCTTGTTCTTGGTTTGCAGACTACTCCCTTGTTCTGTGTTTGGCCCAAGTGTCTGGCGGGGTACAACAATGCATCAAACATCTATGGGAGACTCACGCGAGAAGTTCCACACCAGCTATATAGTTTAATACCTAATAGCATGGCCTTAGCCGACCCCCCGCTCGTCCCGTGTTCTGTGACTGGTTCACAGTTAAAACTCAACGCATATGGCTTGGAGAGCTCCCGACAATCTGAGATTCTACATACAGGAAGCACGCCTCGTGTCTATCAATTTGAGCTCATCTCAGCCCAGCGTTGATGCCGCTTTACACGCTCTTCCCCGCCGATACAGAAAACTGAGAGCAATCCATCCACTTCGGCTCGCCCTCTTCAACGAGTATTGTCAAGAATGTACGAATCCTCATATTATGGTTTTTCCAGGTCTAAAAAATAATTCTAGGGACAGACGAATTTGTTCCATGCGTTTCGCTTGGTGAGGAAGACGAGGATAAAGAGACGGGTGAGCGCTTCACGGTGCCGTGCCCACCTTTCTATCAAGTTCCGTCTATCAGCCTCGCCCGGGCTGATAGCCTCAAACGGTAATAACCATCAATCGACTCCTTGCCATGAGCTAACCGTACTTGAAGATTGTTCACGTGGATAGATCTTCTTCCACTGGAATCCGTGCGACGAGCTGTGCATCTCCTCTACCCTGAGACAAAAGCCTGGTCCTTTGCTTCTGATGCAGATGATCCGGATCATGCCATCTTCAAATGTATAACATGGTCCCGGGTAGTGGCTCACGACGACGAGCGGCATTGTCGGAGTGCCATGAGCATATTCATCCAGCCACCTTGGGTCCTCTCTGTCTGCGATCTTGAGCTATTTTGCAAACGCCAATCAGTATGGGCGGCTAACAATATCGAAGCATTCGTTGCTGACTTATGTCACCAGTTCTTTGGATCATCCTCGTCGCCGTCGACCGAGCTTCTTCATGAGCGGCCTACCACACCTCATGAAAGGCTATGGTACAAGGTAAGACGCCGCCGCTCTTACTTATTAATGAGTTACGTACTCACGCCACCAGCTATGGGACTGTTGTATCACTAGAAGCTGTCCATGGTTTGTCGTAAGCACTTACACGCATTGGGTCTTTGGAGTATTCTCGAACGGTAAGCTAGATTTAGTCACCTACCAAACGTTTTCCACTGAGCCTCGGAATTCAGGGTGGACTGCAGCGTTTGTCTCTCCAGTGTATAGCCATGACTCTCACGACCCATCTGTTTTGCAACTCCTGCTGTTCTGGCTTTGTTCAGCGATGGGATTCTCTGGAGGTTGGGTGGTCCCAGAAGTTCGCATCGAACCAGCTTATCCTAGTCATCATCTCACGGCCTCAGTCTCCGATCTCGCCGCTGGACCACTGATAAGTCGACATCTGCCCTCTGGGCCGGAGATGACTAGATCCGCGTCATTCGATTCTATTTGATTGAAGCAGGCCTGCGTATGCACGCTCACTATTATTGTAGGTTGGAGCTACCAAATTTTTGCTGTATCTTTTCCAGTTTAAGAGGTTTGCGCCGAGTGCTTCTGTTTTCATCTCAGCCCAGCTACCATGATAACTATACTATCCTCTAGTACCTCCGATCATTTAAAAACAGCCAAGGCACCCCACAGGATTTTCAGAGATCTGGTAATTGTAATTCAATGTAATGCATCCCAAAAATAGATGAACAGCAAATCACTATCAGCCAGAATTCCCGATAAGTATGTCTCCCACAAAAAGACTTCGTGTAAACGTTGCGCCAGAAATTCTTTTGCGAGGCCGTGAACTGTAATTATTCTAGCTTAGATCTAAGCGGCCTATCACTTTCTTTGCTGATTCTGGAATGGCCTTTTCCGGCTGTTCCGCAACGTGCAAAGGTGTCTTGGCGGGCGTATTACCCCCGTATGATGAAATTGGTGTCCTGTCACTGGTGCCTGCGGGGGGGACAGATACCGATTGCGATAATAGCTGTGGAACCTGAGAGAAAGGTTCGTAAAGTTTTGGGCGCAGAGAGCTTGTGGGAGGGGGGATCTGTGAACCTTATTCAGACCTTGCAGGGTCAAGACAGTCGGTCATCGAACCATCATCAAAGGCCCCGCATGAGGCGCGTTCTGCATGTCTTGAACCGAATAGTATTCAAGCAGTATGCTCAAAGCATCTAAGACGTACCAGAAATTCTCAGTTATTAATTGCGGCCAGTTCCGAGCGACCTACCTGAGACCTTGGCAATGTCTTCTTCTGTGAACCCGTAATATTCGACTGCAAAGCGAGAACCATCAGGTGAAGCGGGTTTATGAGAAGGAGGTGTTGGAAGGGATGCTGAAGGTGGAGATGCGGAGATTCGGGCGTCCAGAGAAGCCGAATGAGGACCATCAACAGCTCGCTGGGCCAGAACGTAGCAGGCACTTGCAATGATGCGAGGAGGGAATAAGACGCATAATGGTGTCCGATAACTGACACGTGCATTGAGACAACGAGTCGCCTCTGGAAGTCTGGGACGACTAACTCACGAATCATGAGCAATACTCCATGCATAATCGTGAACTCTCGAGTCTTCCTGGTAGGCATCAAAAAGATCGATTAATTCTGCGTGAGGGCTTGGAGCTGCAAAGTCAAAGCATAGTGCTTCGAGGAGGACTTCTTCGGTGAGAAGAATAACGTTTTGTAGTTGATCGACTTCCTGGCGATAGTGTGAGCTCAGTTTAAGCAACAAAAAGGTGTTACATGCTGGGCTCTCGCTGTGTATGAGGGACACATCTTTCCCTGTAATCTTTGCCTGACAGACTCTTGCGACGTCGCGAAGCTTGCGTCCACACTCTTCCGTTTTTGTTGCAAGGAATATGCAGGAAGCTGCAACGTCCTAGAAGGAGCCGTTGTACGCATGATCAAGGAATTGCGAGATAAGAATACCTGTCTGTGATAATCTTCCATGGAGTATCTCATAAAAAAGCGATGAAACCAGGTTGCCGCTGTGAACATTGCGGAAGTGGGCCTGTAAGACGCGTGAAAAGAAGATTCAGAGCTGATAATTGACAAAGGGCTAACAGTCCAAGGGAAGAACCCAAACGAAACAAAAATTCGACACCCCTAGATCTATCATACAACTCCTTCGCGACGGTGTAGGATGAAGTGACAACACTCGGTGTGAGACGAAGTGCTGATATCGGAAATACCCACTGGGATTGCATGATGGTCCCCCAGCTGGGAGGAAGGAAGCAAACCTTGAAGAAGTGACAACGCCACAATTGCCTAAATATCACGTAAAGCTGTGCAAGTTCTTAAGATGGGGCCCCCCTACTTGTTTCGTTAGCTGCCTCGAGCCATTGTGTTAACTTTACGATTTTTCTTGCGCGTGAAGTAGGCTAGTGCGCGCTGATCACCCAAGAAAGAAAAAAGAGTTCATTCACATTTTAGTTCGGTAGCTAGCCCGGTTACATTCTCACTTCTCATTTTATTCTGTCTCCGTGACACAGGTTAACAAATCCCGCGTTCGGGGACAATCAGAATTACAGCAAAGTGGATTCTGGGGCCAGACGAGTTCTTTCCGACGGCTACAGCCGCGGATATCATCTCCCTCACCGTACGCAGCGAGGTGGGCCTCGTGCATGTCTTCTTTCAATACTTGCTTTAATTTGCCCGAACATCCCCTCTAGTAGTAGTCCCCCATAAGATCTGGCAGCTGGCAGCTTGGAAATCAAGGAATCCTTGCTTGTTTCTTTACGATCAGTTTTCGTATTTCCGCTTACCTTCGCGCTTGCTTGCCTTGCCCCGAATATTCTTGACTCACTAGAAGCGAATATTTGTAGCTTTCACTCTGTGCTCAAAGTACTGTCCAATGTGTGACGTGCCTGTCGCACGCCTTCTGATTTCGGATTCCTCTTTATTGGATGTTGAGTATTTCCTCCACCATCATTACACAACCCAAAGTAAACGACATCAATTGTTTTCGCTCTGAAGAACCTCACAGTGGGGATTCTTCCGCTTGTCCTCACCGCCTCCATGAGACAGGTCTTACGAAACAATTACAACACAAAGGCGGTTGTTGCTACCTATTTTCCCCTGGTCGCCTTGCCCGACATTACATCTCGTTCTTTCGTATCTTATACCATGGCAGACACCAAGCCTGTCAAGATGCCCAACATAATATTCATCCTAAATATCTGCAGATCTCGCAAAATATACAGGAAATTGCAAAGGAATTGTCATATCCATCGATCTCTCCGCACCGCTATTCTAATCACCGATCATCGATGCATCTTCATCACCATCACCCAAAGGTACCAACATACATACTGCCAACACCTCTCTGGTCGTATCCACAGTACAGCTTCTACAGCCTCTCGACGTAAAACCCTATCTGCCTTGGCCTTGCTGTGTACAACCAGGACAAACTGAGTCAATGAAACGGTCTGCAACATGGTCGTCAGTGTCCAAGCCAGTATGCCCTCATAGCGTTCAAGTCTCACTAAATTGTTGGGGGAACTGGCGACTACGTTTCAAAGGTCAAAGGATTTCTGGTCAGCTTCGCGGCCCCTCCTTACAAGCGCCACGAGGTACTCACTATTGCCAGCATGTTGTCGTGCATGAAGGTGGCACGCAATTAGTTGGATGAGATGAGCTAAATTTGCAATAACGATCATCACATCGGATCTAAAGGCGTGTGAGTAGTATGTTTTCAATTGTTCGGGTGCGTAGCTGACCATTTCGTCGGCCTGAATAGTGTCAGTCGCAGCAAAAACATCCACCTGAAGATGCTCACCAAGTCGAAAACATGGCCGCATTGGCTGTACGTATTACGAACTCTGAATACAAGACAAGGACCAGAGTGAGCGACAAACTCATAGGTCAGGGGATGACCCACCTTCGCCAGTGACACATGGAGGAAAGTTGGACAACGGAGAGGGGGGAACTGGAGTTGTTGGACCAAATGAACCAAATGGTTGCCCATTATAAGCACCAGGAATTCTTGCGAATATTCGAAAACAGATCGTGCTGATCTTGTCGGGGGGTCACTGATTAGGCATCGGACCGTTTGAACAGATCTATAGCCAGCTAGGTGCAGCGTCAACTTGTGGCACGGAAGAACCACCCGATGCTCCTCGGAACAGCCATTTTGGCTCCACCAGTCGTTCTGCAATATACATATCGGGGTAGCCAGTAGAGAAATTGGTTCCGTTTATCTAGCGAATGGCCTTGCTAAAAAGCTAAAAACCCAAATGAGTCTCCACAACGGGGACGGCCGAACCTCATCTAGCGAAGGGGTGTTTTTGCCGAGTTCGAGGATCGAACACAACAAGCCGCGTCATGTGTACACTCACTCATTGTCGGGACGGCATCCCGAATATCTTACATCAATCCAACCACCGCCCAGGAAGCACTGGAATTCTTTATTGTATTTTTGAGTCGTAATGCGATGCGACGACGTTGGGGGGTTGCGAGGTTTCGTTTTTCCTGATATTTTCAAAATGGGCTGGGCAGTCTTCGGAACTCCACTGAAGAATTTCGGCAGCTGCTCTCGAATATTTTGTACCAGTCTCGCGCTCATATCGCGACCTGTCACATTATAATTCCCGAAAATACTCACCTTTATCATCCAGAATCAGACTGATGGCCCCGAAGTATTGGCCTGGGTACTCTCCCGCAGGGTTACGCATGTTTCATCTCAAGGGCGGCCGCAAATGCGTTTGAACGCCAAAAGAATATGACGTCCATCCTCTTGATTAACCTCGCACCACAGAAAGGCTCCGCCCACACGCATGGTGATCTGCAACTGATCTTGAAAGTGACAAAGGCTAATTGTAAACTCTATCGTGCTCATCACCGGATAAAGACGAAGTTTTGGTGATGAGGGGTAAATCGCCAATTTTGTTATCCTGCAAACATCCCCACAACATATTGGCTGACCCCTTCAGGAGTCAAACTGCCAACGTCGGAGAATACCAGTGTAATCAGGTCCGGCCTAGTATTCATCCATCAGAACGTGTCATGACACTATCAATTCTCACACCTGGTATAGTCCACTCCAGGGTTGCACGCAATTTGTTCAGACGTCATCTGTCGTATATTGTCGCAATTGCTGGCCTTTTCATGTGCTGATTTGATCGCACCCGTGGTCGGAGGGGACGCAACGTTGCCTGCTGGGGACAAAGGGAAAGACAGAGTATTGGATGTGTGCGTTGGCAGGTCATACTGCGATAGCGGGAATAGACGATGGAATTTGTAACTGTAAAGTTAAAATTCATGAGTTCCGGAGAAGTGCATCGCGATAATGGACTTGCCTCTCAGCGAGAGCGTAAAAAGGGATATTCGCGGCCTGCGCAATGATTGCGATTTGGTTACTGCCAACGGCATTGATCAAGCCGCCGCTTTCTACGACAGCTTCTGATCCCACTAGAACAAAATCTACCTTGTCCATGACATATGATGCCGCTGAATCTAGCACCACAGTGCAGGGTATACCTGCGGCAGTAAGTTCTTCATAGGTTCGTAGGCTTTCAACGATCACATTAGCCTTCTTCGGAGATTCCAGAGGTACAGAGCATAAATGCGAACCCTAAGCCGCGAGGCCGTGCTTCCGTCACATAGACCGATATTCTCTTTCTCTCATGGGCACGGAGTAAGGTCTTCATCACTACTCTCGAATAGGAATGAGTCAGGATCTTCCCGTTGACATGAGGGATCATACAACGAGGGAGCACGTGGAAAACATACCACCGAATCATCTTTGATGAACCCCAGCGCAAGGTTTGCAATTTTATCGCGATAAGTGAGAGCCTCAGCAGCATATTTTTGGCCTTGTCTAACAAGCTCTAGTTTCAAATCGGAGAAGCTCTTTTGTAATTGTCAGTTTGAGAAAGAAGATAGACGGGCGGTACTAACTGCGGAATCATGCGGGAGCAGTGTGACAAACGCGATGAATAATTCGCACCCAGCGTTCAAACTGATCGGATTGGAAGTTGACAACTTCAAAGCTTCTGCACCATTATTCAGAGCTTTCACCAGCTCAAGCATGGTTCCGGCTATGGTCTTCTGGGTCAACGTGGCCCTGGAGGAAGGGAACTGGTATAATACCATCGGATGTCTCAATCAGCTTGCTAAGGGCTAAAATCGCGGCCAGGGGAGCCGATAGCTGGTCTTGATATGAGCATTACAAAGAAATGGCAATAGAAGAAAGTGGTACCTCCTCATTCTTTAGGAATGAAGCGTACGTTTCGCAGATATCGAAAGAAACCTCAGAGGATGCAGAGGCCGATGTATTTGCCTCCGTGGTTGCAAGGCCTGGCATGACAAAGAGAGTAATTTGAAGGTACTGGGGGAGGTATTAGCGTGTTCCTTCAACGTTCCTTGCAGAGATGATGATAGGCGGGCCGCATGACTCTTAAGATCACGTGCTACTGAGGACATATGGGCGCTTGGACTTGTTCAAGAGACTAATTACAAGTAATATTCGGGGGGTACGACCTTGTACTTTATATGTTTAGACTTGGTTTAGACCAACCAAAAGCTTGAGCTGGTCATTTACCACCATAGTACAACATCCATGCAACATCCATGCAATATGCTTTATTATCACCAAAACTGTTCCTGTCACAAGTCATGAAGATTGAAGCAATTTGAAGGGAACATGCTCGTAACGAAGCAGTAAAGTGACAGCTGCGATACCTAGGTCTGACCCTGCGGCTCCCTGCGGAAGACTGTTTGACAATGTGACATCGAAAATTACTTGGCTCCCGCGCCCGCGAAACCATTTAGCCCAATTTACGGCCACGCTAGTGCGGGAACGCTGGGCGTCACATTTAGTACTCTTTGTCACTAACTTTAGGTAGCCTTTGTCCTTCTAGCTTTGCCATGTCAATTTTGTTTCCGTTGCTATGTGGTCACAATGGGTATCTGTCAAGTCTATCCGTGACCCGTAATACGTGGTTTACGCTGGTTAACGTTCTGTTAAGATTCGCTCGATGAACATAACGTCGGGGAAAGCGTTTAAGAAGGAACGGTCCAACGTAGAACGTAATCAATATATCAGCGCAATTTCAGCGCCGTCTTCCAAGACAAAGCAACAAGGTGGACTACTATCGAAGTCAATTTTGTACTGAACCCTGTGTCAATTTTCGTATGGAACCTTTCAATTTAGGAAAGAATTATAGATAAATTGAAATAATTATGTCCGAATTTAGTGTCAGAAAAGGAGTTAGCTGCAGACGAATAAACGTGTTTCGTTCTCTGGACATGTCGGGTCGCAATCGCTACAAAGGGCCAATTATAGTGGCGGGACCCACGCCCGCCAGCGCACCCTTCAAAAGCCCGGTAACGCCATGCTTTTATTGCCCTTGTGCCAGCTTCACTATCTCACTCCTCGAGGTCGCATATCTTGCCCTGCATCTTCCTTGCTGTCTCTTTATCAACACAACCTCGCTCCTGGTAAAGGGCAGGCGCCACTTTTTCCCGAACAAATTTGACTTGTCTTACAATGGACAGGTACGTTTTTTTTCGCCTATAAATTTTGTTCACAGTTTCATGGAACTCAACTCAATTTACCCAGCACCCCCAACATGCAGACTCCTACATCATCGACTGCTCAAGTTCATTTTTCCAGTGATGTCCGCAACATGGACAGCTGGGCCCGCCGTACAAGCATCCCGTTGACCACAGCGGAAGCTTTAGGCACTACCTATGCCCGTGCTCATAAATGGTTGCTGTCACTCAAAGCACAACTAATTCAGCACCACGGATGGCAGGACGCGGAAGCGGCCGCCGATGCCCGTATGCTTTTCACCGTAGAAGCGCCTTCTCCATGGCGCTCCCCCAGTGGCCTCCCTTTGAGCCCCAAGTTGCGACTGCAGCTCCCCACACATGCATCCTCTTTTTTTTCTCCAGAGCGACGCGTTCAATGGCAAATGGTGTTCCACAGTGACATATTTGCCACCCAGCGACTCATCGTCCAACCCATCACCGACATCCTGAATCTCATACAATGCCTGCTCACCGGTGTTGTCACCCTCGTGTACGAGGAGCAACTACCACAGGGCACCTATACCACCACTCGGGGTCTCCCGTCAGTGCAGTGGATAACCAACAACCAAGCCGCCCTCCTTGAAATCTTTGGGCATGCCCATTTCAAACAACTCTGGAAGGCCGCCAATGACAGAACGACGTCATTCAAAGTTGACTTTGAACCTCGGCGCCGTTGATCGTGGAGTGGCACAAAAGCCCTTACCCTGGGGGCCAAGGCTCGCGTGCAACAAGCGCCTTCGTGTATTCTTCTAAGCGCCATCCTTTCATTTCCCCACTTGTGATCCGCTTCGCTACCTAGTTTGTTCCTTTGCCCTGCGCCGCATTGTTGTGATATACTGCTTTCCTTACGCGTATTTGTCATAATACTTATATCTCCACATAGACCACTCGCATATCGTTAATTCGCTTTATTCATTCTATACATACCTATCATCGATCACATTTAATACCCGCCATCATATCGTTACAATCGAATACTTAGCATCACCCACTGTCTGCTTAATGTTACAACGCGAATGCTCACCCACCTTGATCAAAGTTTCGCGAGACCCAAAGTGTGGAACTGCCCTTGACCCAGCCCCGATAACATGGCTCGATGGTATTGTCAGCAAGCGACAAGGATGACTCAAGTGTGGAGACACGATGTGTGTTGTGTGGTCCCCCTATTCCATGGCGGGTCGATATGGACTGCGCTCGCGCCAGACTGGGTTAGTGTCCGAAGGTCATCCGACCTTGGAAAGTGCGGCACTTGTGGATAATCTCGCAGAGTAGACGGACATAATCAGACTCCGCGTGATAGGGGAGACCTTGAAATGTTTAGCGCCTTCAAAAAAAAACACGTTGAAGGGTCGCACTAACGGTGAGATCAGTCAGAGGCACGTTGGGTGCGTGAGGCAGACTGTGCTTTAGACAGTCATGTCCTTGTGATGAACGATATGCTAATTCAAGAATATCACGGCATAATTGCATGCATACATGGAATGACAGAACTTAGCTGGCGATTGAAAAAATTGTCGGAGGTTGATCAAGATCTGTTAACTCGCGTCGCGTCGGAGAAATCCGCGTCACGTGCGCCTCAAGTCACTTGGCCTGCTAGCTGCGTAGTCGCTCTGGAAATTTCATCGTATTCCTCTACTTGACAGGGAAGATGAGTTCAGCCACAGTGCTTTGCCAGAGCCCTAATTGTCCACACGGGAACCCACCATCACGGCTAGAATGCCCCACGTGCAATAAGTATGTCACATACCATGTTGCATCCTGCTGTTAGCACTGAAGCCGACTCACACCAGGCTGGGCATCCGTGGTTCCTTTTTCTGCGGACAGGAGTGTTTCAAAGGCAACTGTGAGTAGATCACGATATCAATCGGCGTGGAAGCATTGAAAATGTCACACTTTTGACAGGGGTAAGTGCGATGTAAACTTAGGCACTACTTGCGCCTCATGTACATCCATTCTCTCCACATCCACTAGAAAACCCACAAAATCGTCCATGATCTTGCGCGATCCCCGGCCACTGCGGCTAATCCATCACAAGGTGAGTTAATAGAGATACTCGCCGGTAGCGGGTCAGCTGATGTGATACAGACGGCACTTTCCATCCTTTCGTGAACTTCGATTACACAGGCACTCTAAGACCCGTATACCCCCTCTCTCCGAAACGCGAAGTTCCGGCACATATCCCGCGCCCTGACTACGCAACTGATGAAGATGGTAGGATCTCGCGCCTTCTCAACAGCCTAGTACGCATTTTGAACATGTCAATGACTAATTTCCACTCCTTCCTACAGGAGTACCGACCACAGAGATGAAGCGAGCGGGTCAGCCTCCTCGTTTATTGAGTGCGGAGGAAATCAAAAAGATGAAAACTGCGTGCAGGGTAGGCTTCGATTATAATGAACCAGACATTAGACTCATTTTTCTCAAGCTCGGTCGAGAAGTGCTGGACATTGCAGCAGCAATGGTGCGGCCAGGTGTGACCACTGATGAAATTGACGCTGTTGTTCACCAAGCCACAATCGAGCGTGACGCATACCCGTCGCCGTTGAACTATCGCAATTTCCCGAAATCTGTCTGCACGTAAGATTGTCTCAAGCTTGTCATTTGATTTGTTATTGATGTCGCATCAGGTCTGTCAATGAAACCATATGTCATGGCATCCCCGATCGCAGGAAGTTACAAGAGGGTGACATCATAAATCTCGGTGTGTTGTACCACGTCATTTATTGAGTATTTTCTGACGTTGACATAGATATATCTTTATACTACGATGGTATGTGGAAACGTTTCGTTTTCGTTTTATCCCATGTTTGAAGACAAAGGTCAGGCTTTCATAGCGACGTGAATGCCACATACCCCGTCGGTGAAATAGACGAAGACTCCAAGAAATTGATTCAAACCACTCGACAATGTCTTGATGAGGCAATCAAGATATGCAAACCGGGTGCATTGTTCCGTGACATCGGCAAAGTTATGTCAGTATTTTTCTTTCGGTCCCGTTGGCTTATGTTTACGTTGGTCCTAGCGAGCCAATTGCACGCGCAAACGGATGTGCTGTCGTACGGACGTACACAGGTCACGGCATTAACGACTTGTTCCATACCGCCCCGAACATTCCACACTACGCAAAGAATAAAGCGGTTGGAACCATGAAACCTGGAATGGTAAGGAAGCTAGCGTCAAATTTTCTGGACTACTAACCTCATCGACTCTAGTGCTTTACAATAGAGCCGGTAAGTTGCCTCATGTTCACTGATTTGCTCCCCGGAGCCGAGCCTCATGCACGGTTGCTATTAGATGATTAACTTGGGTTTCAATTGGGACACACACCACTGGCCCGATAATTGGACTGCTACCACAGTAGATGGGAAACGCAGCGCCCAGTTTGAGGAAACTTTACTGTGAGCGCTATTTGAAGTTACCCTTTTTGAAACGAAACTCATCAATGTTTCAGTATCACAGAGACTGGTGTAGAAGTTTTGACTGCGGGGAGCACGGATCTGTAGCAAGAACATGTCATTATCTTTGCCAAGCGCACATTCAGGGATAGATACACTTACATGTTTTGGTCAGTATTCTTCCACTCTCCGCTCCAAAATATTCCCCTCAGCGGCAAGGCACATCGAAGCATCTCGAGATCGACTGAATGAATTCGGACATTTATGGATGTGACATGTGTACCCTTATCTTTCCTCGTTTCCCCTTATGCAAAAATATCGTTTCGTCTTTCAGCAAATACACCCGCTGACATTGACCCTTGGTAATAGAGGAAAGGGTTGGGAACACGTTTGTGGTTTCGCCATCCCCTCCCATCCCTTACTTTCCCACCTCCACCCACAAGATCGCCCTTCTTGTCAATCCACTGAGCGCCTCTTTTGCTCTCCATATGTCGGGCAATGACACTGAACCGTATCTTTTCGTCGAGAAATGTGGCTCGACCCGAGGGAATCCAATTTATGTGATCACAAAGTACATCCCGTCAGTTAGTGTACTCGAATGAAACAATTAACAGAAGGGGCTGATTGAGTCATTTAGCGCTATCAATGGCTACTCAAGTAGGACGGTATGCACTTCATTTCTTTGTGCCAACGCTCTTCTAATGTGACACGTAGAGGGAAATTAGATGCATGGATCTAGGTGGCGAAGCTCTCGGTTCTTACCAGGCTCGCCAAGGAGGCTGCACGCACATACAGGTGGGTGACGTTGACAGGCGTCGCAAGTTTATCTCAATTTCCATTACCGCCCGTCCCAGTTTTTCAATCAGTCTGAACATATTAAGTGTGTCTTTCCGTTGCAAACGCTGACGAGGCTTATTAATATATTTGAGATAGGTGCACTGGGTGCGGCATGGAGTTTTCGAAAGTAATGCTTCGCCAGAATGCCTACATCGAGATCAAAGGCCTCCCTTCCTAACCCCTCCGACGCCTGATGACCATTCTCTCCGCTATGATCGCTATCCTCGTTGCGCTGTGGAACAGCTATGAACAGCTATGCCTGGAATAGACACCCATAAAGTTTGGCAATCGCAATGTAATACTTCATACATCACATGCAATTTGTACAGTCCTCTGCCATAGTCACACATCGCCCACAAGTTAAGCACCCGAAAATTGTCCGCTTGCTTCTTTGTTCAAGCTCGTGGTCACATCTTTAAATGTCTCTTGCCGATCTACGGACCCGATGCGCTCGACCGGAACGAGGTCAGATAAGCTCTGCTTGCGTTGCCGTGAACCCTGTCGCATATGCAGAGATTGTGACTCATTGGTGCGGAGACTGCTGGAACTTGAAGAAGCGTTGAGTTGAGTAGTAGCGGTCATTCGAAGCCTCTGGAGATCTGCGTATGATCCCTGTCGACTCCGAACCTTGTGCCGCGAAGCGTCCTCATACGCGGATATATAGTTGACGGCATGGTCGTAATCTCCATGGTCTTCGTCATCTGAGAGGTCAGGTGTTGCCGGTCTGCTGCTGTCCTGAGTCGGGGTACTTCCTCCCCACGCGCTTGTTCCACATTTAGCACTCCGGCTCCATCCGAAGAGGCGCTCATCAATCCATGTCTGTGCAGCGGTCATGAGGGTGCGACCAGAGAAACCTGGATATACTTACCATGGGATGAATCAACAAATTACCTTGAGCATCAACTTGCCCCACGCTGCTCTTTCGCCGCCAAACCCCGGGATTGCCTGTCGACGGAGGTGCGCTTGCAGGGACTAAAATACGGAACTGGTTTGGTTGTCAAAACACCAGGCATCAATCACGTTGCTGTGGACTTGCCTGATCGAAATCATCATAGATCTTGGGGCCAAACTCATTGATAACCTCGGCAACTTCATTAGAAAGTCGAACTCTCATGGCTTTCACTTTGTCAAAAGACCGCTGTTGACCGGGGATCAACGCCACTATCAAGGGCCGCAAAGATCTAAGGAAATCGAACCACGGTCAGTACATAATTTAGGAGTGAGTCTTCTAAAAACTCACTTCAGTACGTCCATACCAGCCTCGCCAAACTTTAGGGCGGCGTAATTCATGAACGGCAAAGCCAAAATCACAAGGAAGGGAGTCGATATCCTCGTGGCCAGAGACGCGTTGGCTTTCACGGCAACTATTGTCGCAACTATAGCATAAAAAGCATACATGACTGGGGCGATACCGAGAGAAATGAGAATCTTCCAAGTTGCAAGCACATCGCGACCGGCCACTTTGACTACTGATGCAGCCAGTGCCTCTGAAGGAAAGTGAGTGCTTTGAGTAATTAATCAAATGTAAGCGCGAACACATACCTTTAGCTTTTTGACGTGAAATAATTGATGCCAAGATAAACATGGGACCATTAAGTATGACTCCTGGCAAAGCTAATGACGTCCAGATGATCAGGAGCACGAGACGATAAACGAGTAAGCCAAGCGTTTTCCAGCTCGCCTTTTGGGCTCGTGGAACCTTGCGGAAAACGTGAGACTGTGTATAGATTGGAAGTCGCCCGTAAACGTACTTGGTGATCACGAATCCCCAGATCACGAATCAAACGGTTGTACTTCAAAACGTCTGTCCGAAGTTTCTGTACTCGGGGCTCATCTTTGAAGTGTGTGTAGCCTTCCAAGAAGCGCCTGTTCAGTTCGACTACTTGGCCCAAGGTAAGATATTGCCCTGGTGTCTTGTATAATCGGCGGACGGCTTGTATAAGCTGTATGGCATTCAGTTCTCACTTACTTGGAGTAAATGTTGACGTAAACGCACCATAAGTGTGTCATAATCTGGAGCACGAATCGTCACTGTTTTCAGCCCGTCATAGATGAGGTCCAAGAACTTCGCTACAGCTTCACGCTTCTTGGTACCACCTTCTTTAAACATGTCAACAAGTTCAGTAGGCACATCGAGAGCAGTTCCAAATTCCACAACAGCGCGGGAGCGGAAGCGATGGGCATGAAAATATGATAAACCGACAGGTACGATCTTGACTTGCACAGTTGGATCGTTGGCCATGGCACCTAACGCCATGATGGAGACACCAGCTTTGAGTGGGAGTAGATCTGTCCTGTCGTGACTTCCACCTAAGAGGCCAACGATGAAAAGCTGCAATGAAAATGATGAGTAGTGAGCTTGCCTTCGGGGAATATGCCAATGCACCCTCCCTCCTTCAGTTTCTGATATACACCACGATACATTTCTTGCTGGTCGATGAATGGCAGAACCTTGAACGCTAAGCCCTTTATCCCATTTTCTCGACCTTCGCCAATTTTCTCCCGGATACGAATTGTTCCTTTGCCACTGTCCCCTCCAAATTCTTTCTTGACGCGCAACTCCGTATCTGAAATGACTTCGATGACCTCGGCAACGGCTGAGTTGACTGATTTTGGAAGCATGATTTGCATTTTTGGGACAAACTCGGTTTTAAACTTGGTGCCTTCCCCGAGGACTAGACACGGGTCATCCAGAGAGAGATATACTAAGCCAGTCCCAGGTCTTGCCTCGTCTGTAGCTCGAGAAACGGGGACTGAACAAAAGTCAGCGGGGAGCGTGGAACATATGATACAATGAACTTACTACTGTCCATGAGGCGGGCGAAAAAACCTATTGCCTTCCTCTTCATACTCTTAGCAGCAGTTAAAAACTGAACATGACGGTGTGTCTCGCGGTAAACCTCTAAGGTGAGAAGGAGAGGATCAAGGAACTACATAGAGAAACGGTCAGCGGGGGTTGACAGAGATGCAGAACATCCATTCACTTGATTGTGATGGGGAGCACCGACAAAAATGAGGGGGCCCTCAGGAGGGATGTTAAAGGCACCCCGTGGTCGTATCTCTCTGAAGAATATCTGCGTGACCATACGCCAGAATACCAGTGCGGCTTCATATGTGATTGCTGAAGACATTACGAACAGGCCTTATAGATGTTAGTTAGTGGTTGGTCACGCAACATATGATGGTATAAAGAGAAAGGCGTAGGCTTGGGGTACGGCGTGCTTTAGGGGATTGCTGAGCACATCCACTGCAATGTCCAAAATTTGGGGTGTCACAACACGTCCAAATAGACTCCACTAAGTACTAGTACTTGACGTATTGCTTACTTGTCAAGATATCCTCATGACGTTTTACACACTGGTGATCTCACCGCTGCTCACGCTCTCCTACGCTGAGTCTCGCACTAGGTCGTGCATCCGCGACAACAAACGATATCTGATGACCTATATTCTTTCCTGCATTATGTCACCAGAAGACCTCCGCGGTTGATGATACATTTTCCGACTTGTGGCTCGAAATAATTCATAAACATCACAAAAATTGTGTATCCTGATTAAAAGGGGATTTGAAGAGTCGTAAATGATCGAACTGCAGAAACAAAGCAGGAGTTGAAAAAAGAGTGGGATGTTGAAAGAATCCTTCAATCATCAGTCTGGTTCAAGTTAGCTCTCCGATATCCGAGGTCTTGCGGCACTTTGGGAAGATCCATTGCTTGTTGTACTCGCACGATTGTAGTGGAATATGCCGTGTAGCTGATGCAATCGGTCCTCTGCTGGCAGATCGGGTGTATGGTGTGAAGATTGAGGCGACATTTCCACTCGGCTGGGAGCAGGAGAACTAGGGACGGGCGATTCATGGCCATTTGCTTCCAATTCTGATAAACTTCGTAAGGATGAAACTGAAAACTGAAATGAAGAAACATACTTGACAGTGTGCTTGCGACCGCCACAGTTCGTTCCATATCCTCAGCCGCCCTACTCGCAAGTGCGCGGTTGATGTACTTGCGAAATGCAGGGCCAGTTGTCTCTAGCAGCTTCTCAACGCGAGGTCGCTTGTGCGGGTAATTTTTCAAGAATTGGTGCAGCTCAGTGATACCCTCCTTGTGCATCGCTCCTGTGGTCTCGCTGGAGATGTGATTTATGATGGTGATCAACTGTGCTTCCGGATCTGGCTCTTCAACAGGCGGCGAGAAACCGTTGTGCGAAGAGACACTTGGGCTTGTTCGGTGACTGGGGGAAGACTGCTGATTGGCAGAAGAGGCTGCAGGCGATATCGGTCGACTGGAAGCTGCTGAGTATGGGCGTCCAATAGGCTCTGGTGGGCTGTGATTCGACCGCATTGGGAGGTCTGTTGCTGCTCGAGAGGTGGAGTTGAGAATGCGGTAGACATAGGGGTATACTATAGTCGCGGATGGGTCGTCAAAGGATGCGGAAAGGAAGTCGTAAACTTCATCGCCATAATGCGCTAAGACTTGGTTAGTCAACAGTTTACTTCCGTGAGACTTCACATACCAACTACATGCTGAATGATAACCTTGATGGTCCTCAACGGCATGTCCCCACACGGGACCTTATTCGTGGCTCTGGCTCTCCATTCGTTTGGAGGTACAGACTGTAAGAAGTGCTCGACAGCAGGCAAGAGCTCAACCGGATCAAGTTTTTGCTCCTTCAGATCTTGAGGAATGTTTCGAGCTAGCTTCCAAACACATTTCAAGACAAGCTCAGCGACACGAGCCTCTTTGGAGTCCGAGAGTGTTCCATTGCTAGGAAACGGCTTCACGATCTGCAAAAGCAGGGAAAACAGGGAACTAGCGTAGTGTGTCAGGAAGGTAACATCAGGGTGGCAAAGACACGCACCGGAATATGGACATCCTGCGTCCTGTGGCAAACAGCCTCAAGATGATCATATTGATAAATCGTGACAGGTCCTTAACCTTGGTGACGTGACTCTCGTCAGTCTCCAACAATCTCAGCGTAAGCTCCTCTAATAGTGGTGTGAGGATGTCAACGGTTAGCGACTCAGCCAGGAAGATGTGGTCACAGAACGTGTTGAGTGTCTGAATGAGGTGCTTCGCCAATCTGAAGTTCTCGTCAGACACTAGATCCTCGGGACGTTCGAAGACATGCGCCATTTGCAGCGTGATAGTTTCTATAAGACCTTCGGTGTGTTCCGCCAATTCACGATACTCCGGGGATGCGTGCCCATCTTCTGGCTTTGTAACCAGAATCTTTTGGATTTTCTTCAGAGCGTCTACGCTGCGAGAGGGATC